TAGCCACCCCTCCCAATTTGGTGTCATCTGCAAATTTGATCAGGATGCCCTTGAGTCCATCATCCAAGTCGTTGATAAAGATGTTGAATAAGACCGGGCCCAAGACAGAACCCTGTGGCACCCCACTAGTCACTCTTCTCCAGGATGAAGAGGAACCATTGATGAGCACCCTTTGGGTTCGGTCAGTCAGCCAGTTACAAATCCACTGAGTGGTAGCATAGTCAAGACCACATTTTACCAGCTTCTTTACAAAGAATATCATGAGGCACCTTGTCAAATGCCTTGCTGAAATCAAGGTAGGCTACATCCACTGCGTTCCCTTCATCTACCAGGCTTGTAATTCTGTCAAAAAACGAGATCAGGTTAGTCTGACATGACTTATTTTTCAGAAATCCATGCTGACTATTGGTGATCACAGCATTCCTTTCTAGGTGCTCACAGACTGTTTGCTTAATGATCTGCTCCATAATCTTCCCTGGTATTGATGTCAGACTGACTGGGCGGTAATTATTTGGGTCCTCTCTTTTCCCCTTTTTGAAAATAGGGACAACATTTGCCCTCCTCCAGTCTGCCGGGACTTCGCCTGTTCTCCAGGAATTCTCAAAGATGACTGCCAGTGGTTCTGAGATCACATCTGCCAGTTCTTTTAATACTCTTGGATGCAGTTCATCTGGCCCTGGAGACTTGAATACATCTAAACTAGCCAAGTATTCTTGTACTATCTCCTTAGTTATTCTGGGCTGTGTTTCCTTTGCTGAATCATTTGCTCCAAATTCTTCAGGTCGGGCATTGTTTTCTTTATCGGAGAAGACTGAGGCAAAGAAGGCATTGAGGAGTTCAGCCCTTTCTGTGTCCCCTGTTTGCATTTCACCATCTTCTCCTCTGAGTGACCCCACTGTTTCTTTGTTCTTCCTTTTGCTACTGACATACCCATAAAAGCCTTTTTGTTGCTTTTAACCTCTCTAGCAAGCCTGAGTTCATTCTGTGCTTTAGCTTTTCTGACTTTGTGTCTACACGTGCTGGCTATTTGTTTGAATTCCTCTTTGGTGGTTCCCCCTTTTCCATTTTTGTACACATCCTTTTTAAATCTTAACTCAGTTAAAAGTTCTTTAGATAGCCACCCTGGCTTCTTTAGGCACCTTCCATGTTTCTGTCTCATTGGTATTGCCTGACGTTGTGCTTTTAGTATCTCCCTCTTAACAAACTCCCAGCCATCATGAACTCCCTTTCTTTTTAGTATTACTGTCCATGGGATCTCACCCAGCACTTCCCTAAGTTTTATGAAGTCAGCTTTCTTAAAGTCAAGAAATTGAGTCCTAGTATGCTTGGCTGCTCCTTTCCGCTGTATAGTAAACTTCAGAAGAGCATGATCATTCGCGCCTAATGATCCTTCCACTTCTACCCCACTAACCAGGTCATCAACATTGGTTAGGACCAGATCTAAAATGGCTGTTCCTCTTGTTGCTTCTCCCACTTTCTGGACAATGAAAGTGGTCCAAAATTTGGTCCAATGATCCAAAAATTTGTGAGTTCCCGCCCCCCCCCCCACCGGTGGAAATAAAGACACATGACACAATTATTAAGGTTAATGGGCTAAATAAGGCCACAACTTTATTGGTTACAGGTGATGAGTGGTATTGGCTTAGGCATTGGTCCTAACCCACTATATCTGACTTATCTGATCTAGAGCCCGTCCACTAGAAGTCCGGGAAAGGTTAACCACCAGTAGGAGTCCTGCTGATGCACATCAACTAGGAACTCCCCCGGGGTCACCGCTAGGGGGTGTGCCTTAGGTCCTTACCTCCTTAGGCGTCGGACAGGACCACACACCCCAGAACCCTTTATCGGACTACCCTTCAATATGTGGGGCAGGTGATGGCGCTTCCTGCCCTCTTCCATCTACAGAGCAATACCAATGCCTAACCGCCAATACAAAGAAAGTTGTGACAATTTGATACGAGGTAGGCAAAAACCAAGTGGCTGGTGCCAATTTGCCAAGTGGAAAAATTCCTACCAGGCCCCTCAATGGCGACCAACCAAGGTCCATAGCAAGGTCAAGGAATGAAAACCTTATAGGGCAGGAGGGTGGGGAAAGCAGGAACAGCTGGTAGGTGGCAAAAGAGGGAGATTCCCGTGCCTTAAATAGGGTAGGCCACGCCCCCAGAGCCAGCCGATTGGCTGGCGAAGGGGTGACGCAGCCGGGGATTCCCCCAGTCACCGGGGGGTTGGGCGTGACGCCCGCAACCCCGCCTCCTCTGCAGGGCAGAAGTGGCTTTTCTGAATGTTTAGTCGGAATCTCCTTTCTTGTAACTTTGCACTGCTTTGCATCCAGAAGGTGCCAGGTTCAATCCCCACCTTCTCCAGATGATGCCCCCTGCCTGAAATCCCAGAGAGCCTCTGCCAATCAGTGTGGGCAGTAATGAGCTAAGTGGACCAATGTTCTGACAGTTTCTTATGCATGATAGCATGGCAGGTGCTTAGGGGTGCCTTAGTGCTCAGCAGACCACGTGGAATTAGGAAAAGGTCCCCTGTAGCGCAAATAGCCTGTGGAAATTTTCCAGCATATTTGCAGGGAGAGAAATTGGGAGAAAGTCCCCCCCCCCCCGCCAGAGGGAGGATAACCCTCCATCAATTTCACGATGGTGGAGCTCATCGTTAAAGTGGCAGGAGCACAGCTTAAGAACTTAAGAGCATAAGAAGAGGCTGCTGGATCAGGCCAACGGCCCATCTAGTCCCCCGTTCTCACATTGGCCAACCAGTTGCCCCAATGGGAAACCCACAATCAGGATTTGAACACAAGAACCATCTTCCCTCCTGTGGTTTCCAGCAACCAGTATTTGGAAAAACTGCTGCCTCCAACTGTACAGATGGAGCATTGCCATCATGGCAAGGAGCCATCAATAGTCCTCTCCTCCATATATCTGCCTAATCCTCTTCTGAAGCCATCTACATTGGTGACCATTACTGTCCCCTGTGGGAGCAAGTTCCATAGTTTCCATAGCTTATTTCCTTCCCCCCCTAAACATGTTTTGAATGGCACTCTGGCCACCATTCTTCATCGTCCACAAGGTCTAGCAACGTAAGAAGAAACTTAGGTCCATCACAAAATAAATGGAGGGAGGAAAAAGAAAAGGTCAGGAGAATGAATGTCTTCTGATAGATTTCAGCTCAGCCCTGGTTCCCTGAAAGTAGGAAGTGTGAAAGCTGGCGCTATACATCATGGAAATGCAGTTCTGTGACAGCAGAGGCGGAAAAGCAAAACTCTGGGGGAAATGAAGGAGGTTTTCTGCATCTGCATCCGTATGAGAGCAGCCCAGAACATGCCATGTGGGGAAGACTCTGTAGGACTTTGGAAGTCTTCCACTGGAGCTTGGGGAGTTCAGGAAGCATTGAGAGAAACTTTGGCACTATGTCTTGAAAGGAACATTCTGCATGGCAAGCTATGCATGATGGTGATGAAGTTAAGAGTCCCATATAAAGAGGTTATTCTTTGGTGTACGTTTCTTGAGATTCAGGATGTGCAATAATAATAATAATAATAATAATAATAATTTATTTATACCCCACCCATCTGGCTGGGCTTCCCCAGCCACTCTGGGTGGCTTCTAACAAAATATTAAAATACAGTAATGCATCAAACATTAAAAGCTTCCCTTCAGATGTTTTCTAAAAGTCTGGTAGTTGTTGTTCTCTCTGACAACTGATGGGAGGGTGTTTCACAGGGCGGGTACCACTACTGAGAAGGCCCTCTGCCTGGTTCCCTGTAACTTGGCTTCTCACAATGAGGGAACCGCCAGAAGGCCCTTGGCGCTGGACCTCAGTGTCCGGGTAGAACGATGGGGGTGGAGACCCCCTTCCCTTCCCCACCAAGAAATTAACCCCTTAGGGAAGGGTTAGGGTTATTTAAGGGTGAAGGCCACGTCACACAGTCCAATTATTAGATGTGCTCTTGAACCACATTCTCACCCTGCATTTAGGGCACTGTGAAGAGTCCTGGCATCCCCCAAAGAATTCTGGGAGCTGCCGTTTGTTAAGGTGGCAAGAGCTGTGAAGAGATGCCCTGTCCCCCTCACAGAACTACAATTCACAGAGTTCCCTGTGAAGCGGCATTGACTGTTAAACCGCTCTGGGAATTGTAGTTCTTGGAGGGGAATAGGGATCTCCTAAGAATCTACAGCTCACAGGAGTCTTTTGTTGGGGACACGCCGTGACAGTTCAAAGCTTCAAATGCATGATGTGAATGTGGTCCTGGTGGATTTGAAATGCGCATCCACAAATGCAATGTGCGAATAAGTCCAACAGGTATTTTCAAGACGAGCACATCTCCTGCTTAGCCAAAAAGCAGGATTGGCTCCAAACTCCAAAGGAGTGCACCGAGCAGCAAAGTCCATTTCCCCACTGCGCACCTTGCAATTTTTTCTCTCCCTGCAGCATATTTTCAATGTAGAATAGCTGTGGGTGTGTGGACAGCTGTGGCTGAGGGTGTGTGAGCATGGAAAGGCCGTGTGTGTGCCGGCGCGTGCTGGCTTGGGGTAGTGGGAGAGTTTCAGGTTGTTTTGACACCAAGAGTCTTCATGAAAGTGCAGCATGGTGTTGTTGTTGTTGCTGGTGGCGCAGAACGCGAGAGGTGTCCTGGTCAGCTGGAAGGCAGGTATATGCACACCAGTGAAGGTCTTCAGTTGGATTGAGTTTGGTAAGGAAGCAAGCCATCCCTTTGGGGGGAAATAAAGTGAAAATTGAGCATGCCAGGGGGTGATGCTATGGGCGCATGGAAGGGCTGTCCATGCGTATCACCGATGAGCATGTGGGGAGATTGTGGCCCATCTACTCTGCTGTGGCATCCACTCTGTGTGAGCGATGGGGCAGTCATCACAAAGAAGAGGAAGTCCTGAGCCCATTGGGGCGAGTTCAGCCACAGTGGGATGTATAAGGAGAGCATTATGGATCAGAGGCTATTTGGGAGTGGGCGGGTCCATCTTTCAAAGGAGGGATCACGAGCCATGTCTCAGCAGGGGGGAAGTTTGGCACATGGGGGTGCGCTGATGAAGCCTGCCACGAGTGATGTCCCAGGTGTGTGGGAAGGCACTGGGTATGTGTCACTGGAGGGGTGTCATATGGGGAGGAGGGCCATGTGGGGGTTGGCTGCTGCTGCTGCTGTCCTGGTTTTTTTTTTTTTATCTCTCTCTCTCTCCCTCTGGCAATTTGTTAGTGATGCCTGTTTTTCTTTTTCTCCCTCCTGTCTCTCCCTCTCTCTCCCTCTGTGTGTGTGCCTGTCTTTCTCTCCCTCCCTCTCTGCCTCTCTCTTGCTCTCTCCCTCTGCACTGGGCTCCCCTCCCCCTCCCTTCACAGACCCTCCTCCTCTTCCTCCTCCTCCTCTTCGTCTCAGCTTGGCGCCTGGTCCTGGCGTGGCTGCCGAACAGTCCCGGTCGATCCTTTCCGAACTAAATGCCTGTGTGACAGAATCTCCACCTTCGCCATCTTAGCCCAGCTGAGTGCCGAAATGGTAAGTATTGTGCGGCATCCAAAGGAATGAAGTCTTGGCATTTGTGTGTGTGTGTGTGTGTGTGTGTGTGCTGAGAAGGAGGCGGGGAGAGAGAGAGAAAGAGAGAGAGAGAGAGAGAAGCAAAGGAAATGGTCCAGCGGATGACATTTCAGTGTGACAAGCAGTGCTGTGCAAGGCTGGGTGTGCGCACTCGCGTGTGAGTCTCCGTCTGGGTGTGCATGGCAAGGATATTGCATGTGTGTTTGCTTGTGCATGTGTGTGTGCGCGCACACATTGCAATAAGCATCACCGTTGTCAGAAAGCGACTGACATGTGTCTTTGAGAATCTGTGACCTAAATAACAACAATAAAATATCTGGTTCAAGATCATTGCAGCATTGAAATGTCACCATTGTCTTTCCCTGCCTGAAAACACCCTTCTTCTTTTTCCCCTCCATCAATGCTGGCTACTGGGTACCCCTAACTGACCCCCTTCCCCACTTATGTCACCTGCGGTTTTCGGCCGGTTGCCTGGACTATTAGAGAGAGATGGGATAGGCTTGATGAGCGAGTGAGTGAATGGGTTCTGGAGCGAGGAGATCTGTGACTTTGGATGCTTCTGAATCCCAGGCCTTCCACTGTGGATTCATATAGTATTGTTGGTCGATCCTTTTCAGGAATCTTCCTGGCACCTTTTGCTCTTTCCCTGGCTCCTCAAACCCTCCGGGACGCCTCTCGGGGACATTCTTTTGTGATTTCGGAGCGTCACGGCAGCTTTGTCTCCAGTTACTTTGATGCCTTCTTAGCAGCGCCTCAAAATGGGGTCAAAAGGGTGTATTGGCGCTTGTCAAAGGATTTGCCTCGCATGCTCTTGCACAAGTAAAGAGGGAGAAGGTGATGGTGGCTTCTTTGTTATCAAAAATAGGCTGTCGTGGAGGAGGACCGCCTGGTCAGGGCATGAATTATTGGCGTTTATGAGTTTTGCTTGGACTTTGTAAAACAGGAGAGCAAGGGAAGATGCCTTTATTTGATTTGTTTTCTCTCATGTCCACACCCCTTTTTGCAGTCTTTCAGCTGACTTTCACCATGTTCCGGGTCCCTAGGTGAACTGCTCCCATCTAGGACCAATCCCACGATGCTCTCGGTGACCATCATCTTGAGCTTCAGGTCTTGCGAGGCCCGTTGGGCCGTTCTCTCCTTCCTCCTCCCTCACTTTGCGAAGAGCGGCTCATTGCGGGAGAGGGAGGGCAAAATCTAAAAGGTAGTGAGGAGAGATGGGGGTGAGGGGAGGAGAAGGGGGCACTGGGGAAGGCAGGTTTCCCGAGATGAAGGTTTGGTTTATTATTAGAAACACTAATGTATTTGGTCCACTAGTTGCCATGGAAACATCTGCACTGAAGTGGCTTTAAAGATACAGTGTTGTCTGTGCCTGCCTGAGTCCATGGCAGGCCCAAAGCCTAACCCCTTCCCAAACGTCCAGGCCTTGCATTGTGGGATTAGGTGCTCTAGGAATTTAAGTTTTGAGGGCAGCAGCATTTTTCGTGGTGTGTCTGTGCAGGAAACAATGGTGACTGTGTCGCTTTCCCCCCCAGTTTTTGCTCTGTAGCCAGGTGAGAAAAGTGAAAATGCTCTCCCTCACCTTAACTCAGCCTTTCTCAACCTGTGGGTCCCCAGATGTTGTTGGACTACAACTCCCATCACCCCTAGCTAGCAAGGCCAGAGCTCAGGGATGATGGGAGTTGTAGTCCAACAACATCTGGGGACCCACAAGTTGAGAACTGCTGCTTTAACTGCTCCTCTCTATTTTTTCTCTCTGCTTGAATACGTAGATCGCAATTGTAAGAGCAAGTTGGAGGTTTATACAATTGGACCCGGATTCTCTGTCCTATACAGACAGTTTAAGATGCATGCTTTCTGTCCTCTTTACTTTCCTTTGTCCCCTCTTCCACTGTGGCTGTGTTTGGACATAAGGCATCAGAGTCTTGCATGTTCCCCTCTCCTCACTCTGAGAATATTGAAAACTTTTGCTTTTTGATCAACCACAAACCCTAGTTGGTCTCAACTGTGGTCTGTTAAAGAAAGAGAACGTCCAATTTGGGTTTATGCAACAGGCTTGCGTCAACAAACCAAAGTTCAGGGTCTGAATGTAACCCTAAACTGTGGCCAGTCAGTAAAAAAATAACTCATAAATTGGATGTTGCCAAAGGTTTGGAGGACCTTGAAAAGTTTTGTGCTGTTTGGTGAGATTTTATCTTATATACAACAAATTGAGCCACCTAGAACTTCCTCTGCACAGTGCAGTGTGAAATTTGGCTTTCCTGATGCTCTTGAGTACTTAATATTACTCGCTATACTGGGCTGCTTTTCAGTACTTCTATTATTCTTGTTGTATTGATTTGAATAAGAGAAAACAAACCATAGTTGAACTAAAGTTCAGGGTTGGGATGTAACACTAAACTGTGGTCAAACACTATTGGAAGTGAAAGCTTCTTATCTCCTTGTGGCTGTGTTTAAGGAGGAAGTAGGCAGAACACATGAGCTAAGACTCACTGTAACTTGTTTCCATAGTTTATTCTTATACTGTATCTGAATGCAGTCTAGAACTGCTCTTTCAGTACATCTTAGAATTGCATCTATTCCCATTTCAGAAGTTTTAGTTCAGCACAGGACCTCACAAACTCTCCCAGATCCATACCATCTATTCTCCCTTTGGTCATCCGCTTCACTTACCCACTTTACCCAAAACAACTAAGGACATCTCAAAGGTGGGCATATAGAGAGTCTCTTGACCAAAGAACAGCATCCCATTAGGAATCACACTGAGAAGTTCCTGGCGAAGGGCATCTTTCTCTAATGCAAGTGCGGGATTGATTCACACATTATGTATTTTATAGGTATTCTCCTAAAACAGTTATTGGAAGTTCAAACTTGCAAACGTTGCATGGGAACAGGAAGTATGCGCAAGTTTTGTTGGCAGTCATGTCCATCACATGTGTTCATACACAGATGCTCTTTCTTGGGAAGAGTGGATTGCCACATGTCAGGGGTACTTTAGTTGTGATTCCTGTATTATAGGGGATTAAACTTGGGGGGGGTCTACAATAATCTACAATTATGTGATTCTGTGAGTGTGACCCTGTTGTTGTTCTTGCTTGATCTCTTAGCAGCTTTTGATGCCCTCGCCCAGGGCATCCTGACAGGCTGTCTCTGTGGCTTGGAACTGAGGGCCACAGTAGTTCTGTGGTTCTGCTCCTACATTCAGGGTCAGTTCAAGGGAGAGCGTTCGATCGGTGTAGCTAGACACCCTGGCTGTTAATAATAATAATATTATAATAATTTATTATTTATACCCCGCCCATCTGGCTGAGTTTCCCCAGCCACTCTGGGCGGCTTCCAATCGAGTGTTAAAAACAAAACAGCATTAAATATTAAATACTTCCCTAAACAGGGCTGCCTTCAGATGTCTTTTAAAGATAAGATAGCTGCTTATTTCCTTCACATCTGAAGGGAGGGTGTTCCACAGGGCGGGCACCACTACTGAGAAGGCCCTCTGTCTGGTTCCTTGTAACCTCACTTCTCGCAGTGAGGGAATCGCCAGAAGGGCCTCGGCGCTGGACCTCAGTGTCTGGGGTGAACGATGGGGGTGGAGACGCTCCTTCAGGTATACAGGACCAAGGCCATTTAGGGCTTTAAAGTTCAGCACTGACACTTTGAATTGTGCTTGGAAATGTACTGGGAGCCAATGCAGATCTCTCAGGACAGGTGTTATGTGGTCTCGGCAGCCACTTCCAGTCACTAGTCTAGCTGCCACATTCTGGATTAATTGCAGTTTCCAGGTCACCTTCAAAGGTAGCCCCATGTAAAGCTCATTGGAGTAGTCCAAGCAGGAGATAACTAGAGCATGCACCACTCTGGTGAGACAGTCCGCGGGCAGGTAGGGTCTCATCCTGCGTACCAGGTGGAGCTGATAGACAGCTGCCCTGGACACAGAATTAATCTGTGCCCCATGGACAGCTGTGAGTCCGAAATGACTCCCAGACTGCGCACCTGGTCCTTCAGAGGCACAGTTACCCCATTCAGGACCAGGGAGTCCCCCACACCCGCCCGCCCCCTGTCCCCCCAAAACAGTACTTCTGTCTTGTCAGGATTCAACCTCAATCTGATAGCAAGCCATCCATCCTCCAACCGCCTCCAGGCACTCACACAGGACCTTCACCGCCTTCACTGGTGTTGAGTTGCGTGATGCCTCAGAGTTCCATTCTGTCTCCAGCACTGCATATGTAGTCAGTGGGTGTGACCATTAGGAGATTGAGATTGTGGTGTCATTCATATGCTTTGGGAACCCCCGCTCCATCTCTCTGTTATACCTGACACAGATGTGGACATCCAACGTGGTGCCTGGACACAGTAGTGGGATTTTTGAGGGTCAAAAAGTTGAAGCTGAATTTCAACTGCTTGGAGGCTCTGTGGGTGCGTTGTTCCTGGGATCGGGTATTCAGCCTGTTGTGCTCTCCCTTAAGTAACAGGTATATATAGTCTGGGTGCATTCCTTGTACCAGCCGTGGAGGCAGCGATGGACACAAACTTGGGTGGCTTTCAAAGAGGATTGGACAAATTCATGGAGGTGGAGAGGACTCTCAATGGCTACTAGCCATGACGGCTAGGCTCTGCTTCCATGATCAAAGGCAGCAATGCTTCTCAGTAGCAGTTGCTCGAAGCCACGGGAAATGAGAGTGCTATTGTGTTTGAATCCTGCCTGTGGGTTTCCCACAGACATCTGATTGATCCCTGTGCTGGTAAGCTCAAAACTTGGCTACTGTAAATGTGGGGCTGCCCTTACAGTTGGTCTCAAAGTTGCAGCTTGTGCAAAAAGGAAGCATTTAAGTTTCTAAATGGGGCAGCCTCCCTTGAAGTCTAACACTTTTGCTGAAAGAGCAGCACCAGCTGTCCATTAGCTTCCACACCAAGTTCAAGGTCTTGTTGTTTAAAAGCCCTAAATAGCTTGGGACCTGGTTATATGAAGAAATGCCTTCAACCAGTTCTTAAGGTCACAAAATAAGGCCCTATTGATCGTGCTGCAGGCTGTGGAAGCCCAGCCCAGGGGCAAGACCCTTCCATGTTGTGGCATTGAGTTTATGGAACCATCTCGCCCTGGAAATAAGGCAGGCACCTACCTTGTTGAGTTTTCAGTGAATCCTGAAAATACATTACACACCAGCCCTGAATGTTGGGTATTCCTGATACTGCGCCTTTTTATGGATTGGTTTTAATTTGCATTTATTGCCATCTGTTTTAAATTTGTTTCTTGGTTTGCCTTTTATGGCTGTCAACTACCACAGGGTTGATATGGGAGATGGTGTAGAAATATTTTAATAATGCATACGTTCATTGGGGAGGTGTGGATCTCAATTGCTTGTGGCATTTTGAGGAGACTGGCAGATACAGTAGGTTCCATGTCAAAACGTGAATGATTTCTAGTTATTTTGCACAAGTATGTGTGTGCCTTCCTTGATGAGTTTGGCTATCAAACCAATTTTTTAAAAAGGGGGAGGGGTTATTTTTATTTTTATTTTATTTGGGAAGTCAAATAATGGTCAGATCTTTTTGTCGGCCAGTTTTGCAGCAACAGAACAGCAATAAAGACACTTTAATATTCACAAAGTGAGCTCCATTATTAAAAACGATGCAAGTTAATTTGCTGTTAGGAACAAGGGACCTAATTTAATGGAACTAATAACTCTGTGCGAGCATGAGAGCAAGGCAGTCAGTATTCTAGTCCTCATTCATTTGCTCTTTGGGCTTGATAGGTAAAGGTAAAGGTACCCCTGCCCGTATAGGCCAGTCTTGACAGACGCTAGGGTTGTGCGCTCATCTCACTCTATAGGCCGGGAGCCAGCGCTGTCCGGAGACACTTCCGGGTCATGTGGCCAGCGTGACGAAGCTGCTCTGGCGAACCGGCACCAGCGCAGCACACGGAACGCCGTTTACCTTCCCGCTAGTAAGCGGTACCTATTTATCTACTTGCACCCGAGGGTGCTTTCGAACTGCTAGGTTGGCAGGCGCTGGGACCGAGTGACGGGAGCGCACCCCACCGCGGGGATTCGAACCGCCGACCTTTCGATCGGCAAGTCCTAGGCGCTGAGGCTTTAACCCACAGCGCCACCCGTGTCTTGGGCTTGATAGTAAGCATATTGTATCCAGTTGCATTTTCCTTTTTAGTGGGTGTCCCATTTCCCACAATGCAATGCACTATATAGAGAAAATTCAATATTTCAGCTGTTTCCTCCTCTGGCTAGCCATCTCCTGCCAACCCATTGTCCCATTGCCCCACCATCTCCAACCACAGTGCTTGAAATGCAACTTGTCTCAAGCAATTACTTTACTGTACATTCAGAGCCCTCTTTGTACCTTATCTGTGTCAGGCTCCCTCTTAACTGGTTCTTAACAGTTTTGTGGTCAGGCCACAAAACTGGCTTCATGGGTAATGGGTTTTACAGAATTTCTTCCACAGACAAAACCTGTGCTGGGTCAGTTCATCACGAGTCAGGAGCAAAGTCTGCCCCCTTCTTTTTCCGTGTGGATTTTTAAAGAAAAATCCCCATATCCTTTACAGTTTCGTGTATATACTTTACATAAACTGCTTACAGAGTTTTGTCAGTCCAGTAGTATGGAAATGGAAAATAAATATATATGCTCGGAAGTTTTTGAGGTGAAAAAACCCACATGTGAGGTTGTCCAAAGCAGTGCTTTTTTTCTTTTTAAAAAATTGTTTAAAGGTACTACTCTCATTTTGACTCAAGAAAATCACCATTTTATAGTTCAAATCGGGGGAAATAAATACAGTAAATGAACAAAAGTATAAAAGTTCACAAAATGTTTAGGGGTATGTGTACCCCTGCATCACCCCAGAAAAAGCACTGGTCCAAAGTATTCCCAGCTAACCAAGAGTGGCAAACTACTGCATGGAGCTCCCATTACCACAGATGTTGAAATCAATATAGGAAGTCCTCCCTGATAGCTATTCATAGAATCATTTGTTGTCGTTGTTGCTTTTGTTGTTGTTTAGTCCTTTAGTCGTGTCCGACTCTTTGTGGCCCCATGGACCAGAGCACGCCAGGCACTCCTGTTTTCCACTGCCTCCCACACTTTGGTCAAACTCATGCTGGTAGCTTTGAGAACACTGTCCCACCATCTCGTCCTCTGTCGTCCCCTTCTCCCTGTGCCCTCCATCTTTCCCAACATCAGGGTCTTTTCCAGGGAGTCTTCTCTTATGAGAGATGAGCGCCGCAACCCCAGATTTGTCCGCGACTGGACCTAATGGTCAGGGGTCCCTTTACCTTTACCTATAGCAATAACAATTATTTTATGTACATTTTACATATTTTATGTCCCATTTCCTCTTAGAGCGTTGCCACACAAACTATATAAAATGTATGTAAATATGTACGTTTCCCTGTAAGAGCGGTTCCACCTCATCAAGACCCATCGCTCTGAGCAGGGACTTGCTATATTGATTTCAACACTCATGGCACTGTTGGGAGTCCTCTGTACTAGCTAGCTGCTCTTAGGATGCTGAAACTGCCCTCCTCTTTCTTTGGTTATCTATAGTTTATCAAGGTTTTTACAGTACTGCAATAAAACAGTGCAGTTCCTTCGTCCCACCTAGCTCCCTTGTCTCCATCTGCTTTCAAACCCTTTTTAGTTACAGCACTTTCGTTTTATTTATTTAATAATCGCCTACCACACACATCCCAAGGTGATGAGTGCAAAATGCAATAAGAGACAGCTTAAAAAAAGCTTTTTAAAACAATACAGAAAATAGCACAGATTTTAAAAAAACCAGAATGTCAAGTAGACACCCACGATAGAGACCTAGTCATCCAGAGAAGAAGGCTTGTTGGAACAAAAAAATGTCTCCAGCTGTTCCCAGGGAGTGGGCGCATGTATTATCTCGAATGCTGTTCCACAGAACAGGGCAGCCAGACTAAAAGTCCTGCTCCATGTTGCCGTGGAAAGGGCTTCGAAGACCTTTGCAACTTGTAGGAGAAGATGACCCATAGACAGAGGTGATGTACTGAGTATATAAGGAATAAGATGGTCTCTCAAGTATATTTCTGATGTTCAGTTGTTTGTTGTGTTATGCAGTTCACCTGCTCAGATAAAGATTAGGGGAAATGCTGTGTCGGGGTCCCATTTTAACAACTGTTTAGAGAAGTTTCCATTTCTGCATTGTGCCACCCGCTTCTTCTAGTTGCGGGTACGGCTCGGTTCCAGAGTTCTGGAAATGTGCTCCAAAATCCCTTAGAAGCTTGACTTATCGTGGAGTTTGTGGAGCAGAATTATGGAGCAGGAGGTCTTGTATCCAATTTCCCATGCTTGGTGCGACCAAGGCTTTCCAGTGCTAGAGAAGTACTCATTTTGAAATGAGACCAGTAGCTTTCAGACCACCTTGTATGAAAATCCATAAGAGACAGGGAATCTGGCAATGCACAGAACCTGGGGTGAGCTTATACCCTGGTTCCCATATTGGAGGGGGCAGGTTGAATCAGGTGTGTCTGCTTCAGAATCATGGCATGATGGATTCATCCTCCATCTTATGTAAGGTGGTTGGATCTGTACTTGGTCAAGGTTGCCATCATGGAGCAGAGATCTGAGTCCTGTCTTTCCTAGTTCAGTCAACACTCTGCTAGCCACCTCCCATTGGTTTAACATTACTTGAATGACTTTGTTGGAAATTTGTTTGGCATTCTCAACAACAACAGCAACAATATTACCTTGGCAGTTGTAATGATGTCAAGCAGATCCATTATACAGTGGTACCTCGGGATCCGTTCCGGAGCCCCGTTCGCATCTGCACAGGCACGGGTCATGTTTTGGCACTTCTGCGCATGTGCGTGGTGTCATTTTGATGGTCTGCACATGCGCGCGCGGCGAAACCAGGAAGTAAGGCGCTCCGTTACTTCTGGGTCGCCGCGGAGCACAACCCGAATTTGCCTAACCCGAAGCGTATTCATCCCGAGGTATGACTGTACTGGACCAATGTGGGGATTTGTCTATTTCTTGGAGAAGTTGTATGATTGCTAGGAAAGCCCTCGTTGCTCCAGTTTATTTAACACATTGTAAGAGCTGAATAGTAATAAATAGCTTTTAGAGTAATAAGAGTATTTTGCACAATGTCATAAAAATCAATCATTTTGGGTTGGAGCTTAGATTCTTCTTGTTATTATTTTTATAAAAATAGAATGCTAGGTCAGTATAAGTGTGGATAATATTCACAACAAGCCCTGGAAAAGCTCAATATTTTGTTTTAAAATTCAGAAAAAAAGGACAATGCAATTGTTGTACATACCACTGTGCAAAACCCTCTAGCAGAATCCAGGGATTTTCCAGATTCATTGCTCAGAATACCCGCAGAAACTCTGCAGCAGCCTTCGCTAATGTGGTACCATCCAGGTATCTTGGACTACAACTCACATCACTCCCAGCCCTAGCACTTGATTGGCAAAGGCTGCTCTACAGAATGTCTTGGATAATTTCCTGTCCAAAATTGGATGGACACCCAGATGCAAGGCACCATCCTTGTCTTTCATCGAGACACAAATCAGCGAGATAGACATTTCCATTCTTCACCCCTTGACTGGCTAGCACAACAGTTTCCAGATCTAGCTCCTGATGGAAACTAAATCAAATAGGATGTGGGTTTGGGATAACCGCAGACAACAGAACTACAACGGCGACTTCAAAAACCTAACCTTCCAGAGTCTCTAAATATTACTGCAACCCAGCATTCATTTTCTAAGTGCAGTTGTGCCAAATAAGCAAAACTCCAAGGGACAGCTCCAAGGTTTACTGCCAGTGTCCTCAGCTGATATTTCATCTGCCATCAAAACGATCTTCTTCTTCTGTATTGTCGCTGCGGTCTCCATGAGTCAAAGTTTACTATTTGTTATAAAGCATGGGGAACAGGTGAAAGTTGTGTTGCGATTGCAATAGATCACCTGGCTGGTGATTCAAGCTGGCCGAAGAAGCACTTCAGAAGGGAAGAGGGTGGGAATCATGTATTTGACCTGTTACCAGTTATCATGATGGGTGAGCTTATGATATACCATATTTTTCGCTCCATAAGACACACCTGAACATAAGACGCACCTAGTTTTTAGAGGGGGAATGCAAGAAAAAAAATATTATTTAAAGGGAGCGCTGCGCGGAGCCTGTATGCATCCCAGGCTATGCTCAGTGCTCCCTTTCACAAGCCGCGCGGAGCGTGTGTGCGGCGCTTGCAGGCTTTTTCCCAAGGAGGGAGAGGGCAGCCCATCACACTGATGTGTGGCATTTTAGTGTATTTTTGGTCTCTGTGGAAGCCACCCAGAGTGGCTGGGGAAACCCGGCCAGATGGGCGGGGTACAAATAATAAATTATTATTATTATTATTATTATTATTATTATTATTATTATTCTCCCTCCTCGGGGAAAAGCCCCCAAGAGCCACACACACGCTCCGCGTGGCTCTTTAAAGAGAGCGCGGCTCTTGGGGGCTTTTCCGGGAGGTGGGGAAAGGGACTGAGGGGCTAAGCCAGAAGCTAGAACAGCAAGAGCTGTGCAGCGATCCCTCTCGCTGTTCTGGCGTAGCCGCGTGAAGCCTCCTCAGGGCAGCGGGATGAAGGCTCCCCATGCCCTGAAGAGGCTTCGCATGGCTAAGCCAGAAGCTAGAACAGCCAGAGGGAGCGCTGCGCAGCGATCCCTCTCACTGTTCTGGCTTCTGGGATAGTTGCACAGCCTGCATTCACTCCATAAGATGCACACACATTCCCCCTTACTTTTTAGGAGGGGAAAAGTGTGTCTTATAGAGCAAAAAATACGGTAAGCCAGGGACAGGGGGTCTGTGGTCCTCCAGATGTTGTTGAACTATATCTCCCATCATCCCTGGCCATTGGCCATGCTGGTTGGGGTTGATGGGAGTTGGAGCCCCACAGAATCTAGGCTCCCCACTCTTTGTGTAAGTAGTTAGGTTTTTAAGATCATTCTTAGTCAATTCTTGGGGGGAAAGTCAGGCTGCCTCTGAGCTTATCCTCATGAGAGATGGAGGGGAAGAGGCCTGTAAGGATTGGGTGAAATGCCCTCTCCAGAAGAGGAAACATCTTGAATTACTTCACAGCATGCTCACAACTGTCCATTGCTGCTAGAAAGACTGGAAAATGTATTGTTAAATCTATTTAACAGATTGAGCTGGGGGAGATTGGGAATGCCGTTTCCTAGGCTCTGAAGCAGTAATAGATACTTCTAGCATTAGTGTCTGTCTGCATTTTAATGAGAAACTACCTAATTGGTCCCACACCTGATGTCATACAATGTGATTACACCTTATGTGCATTTAGCTTGTGCAGTTACAACCTTGCAAGGTTGAAGGCTGGCTGGCTGAAGCCGCACAAATTAAATGTACACAAAGTTTCCCTGGTGTGAAAAGAGCTTACTAGGCATAGCCCATCTCTGGGATGGTAGAGAAGCTCATGCCATGATAAATTTGTTAGACTTTTCAGTGCCACAAGACTATTTTCAAAAAATGAAAGCCCAGACAGAAAAGTTGCTGGTTGGGCTTTCTATTGAAAAGTTGTTGAGCTTTATTTATTTATTTTGGGGGACATATTCATAATTCACAAAAAAAATAGAAGTTTTGGAGTTATTTTCAAAGGAAATAGCCAAAAATGACTCTGTCAACATGGATTGCCATACACCCAGCTATCCCATAAAGGTAAAGGTAAAGGGACCCCTGGCCATTAGGTCCAGTCGTGGCCGACTCTGGGGTTGCAGTGCTCATCTCGCTTTACTGGCCGAGGGAGCGGCGTACAGCTTCTGGGTCACGTGCTTTCAAACTGCTAGGTTGGCAGGAGCAGGGACTGAGCAACGGGAGCTCACCTCGTCGTGGGGGATTCGAACCACCGACCTTCTGATCGGCATGTCCTAGGCTTTGTGGTTTAACCCACAGCGCCACCCGTGTCCCTTAGCTATCCCATACATTTTTGCAGCAAAAGTAGTCAAAGATGCTGGACATATCCAGAATAATGCAGTCAGAAACAGTGTCTGGGTGGAAATAGCTATCCCATACATTTTTGCAATTTGCACCCAGACACTGTTTCCGACTGCACTATTCTGGTTATGTCCAGCATCTTTGACTACTTTTGCTGCAGCACAGTGATCCCTCTGGAAAACAGGAATCTGCCTTATACCAGTTCAGGTCTTTGGTTGACCGACTGGTCGATCTGGAGTAGAGGCATTGGGGAGAAGCCTCTGAAACGGTTCTCTGGCTGTCTTTGAACCATGCCTTTTAGATACCTGTCCTTAGCCTCTCTGCACAGATCCTAGAACACCTGGCAACAGAGAAATGTCAGCTTGCAATCGTGGTGATAGCTAAGGGGTACAAAATGAGGATGCTTCTCAACTGCATGCATCTGTGCCTACCTTGCAATTCATCAGTTTCACCTGGAATTTTTTGCTAGGTCAGTGCATTTAAATCTGCAGCCATAGAGACCTATTTGTCAATTTCCGTTTCTTCAATTGTTTTCATTCCTCTAGTCCTAAAGTTAGTTCTTCACATTTCCGCAACAATTTGCGACTTGTTTATTTTTAAATCCTCAGGGAAATTTGTAAGCTTTCTAGTGCAAATTTCTCCTAATAAACACATTCTCACACTCTTTTTTTGCAAATATATACATTTTCCTTAAAATAATGCATTTTTTAATGTTTTTATTTGTGTGTGTTTTGGCATCATCATGCATTTTTAATAAACACTTTCCCCTAGCATGCACATTTTTGGAAGACACGGTTTAGCTGAAGAACTGCGTTGCAAAATCCGGGAAAGTGCTGATTTTGAAGGATAGTGGCATTTTGTGCTGGTCCAGGAACTGCAGGTTAGGTAGCTTTCCATTAAAATGCCTAATAATAATAATAATAATGGCAGCTGCACAATCAGGACTGGTCTGCATCACACACTTAAAGCACACCCAACACACATTCAAAGCACATGACCACCTGAAGAATCCTGGGAACTGTAGTTTGTTAAGGGTCCTAGGAAATTGTAGTTCTGTCTGTGGAAACTACGGTTCTCAAGATTCTTTGTGTAAGTCACATGCTTTAAATATGCACTGAATGTGCTTTGCACACGAAGCCCAGATCTGCTCTCAGTGCTCTTAAATTACCAGCTCCCTTATCCCTTTTCTTCCAGGACCGATCAGGTGACCACACATACTGCCTTCTCCACCTTTTTGCAGAGTTCTCCTGCTTTTGGTTTACTCTACGCTTCTCTCTGCATTGATTAATGCAACCCAGTAGTAATTAGCTGACTAGGCTGTCAGCTTGTCAGACCACATTGATTTCATTCAGGCCTTGTTAACTTTTCCTCCCTCTGGCAATTTCACCCCAGCAGCCACCTTTGCTCGTGACAATTTGGCAGCAAGTCTGCAATCCGAAAGAGGTGGGAAGCAGAGCTTGGTTCCCTCTGAAAGTGGCTTCTGGGTGGAAGAATGGGAAGAGAAGAAGTAGGAAGCCTTAGTAGGATGTGGGACCCTAGCAGAAGGACAGGTGGGGTGATGGACCACTTATCCTGGGCGCATCCTTGGCATGGGCACCTTGGGAATGTTCAGGGAGGCAGGAGAGGATATATTGTTTATTAATATCCTTCCTAACTTGCACTAGCAAGTTCCTTTACTTAGCAGAGTTTACATTCCCCTTTTACATGCACAGCAGATAGCTGGTTGCAGGCTTGTGTAAGCCTTTCACCAGGGCATAGCTGTCAACTTTTCCCTTTTCTTGTGAGGAATCCTATTCGGAATAAGGGAATTTCCCTTTTAAAAAGGGGGAAAGTTGACAGCTATGCACCAGGGGTCAGCAAACCTTTTCAGCAGGGGCCCGGTCCACTGTCCCTCAGACCTTGTGAGGGGCCTGGACTATATTTTGAAGGGAAAAAATGAACGAATTCCTATGCCCCACAAATAACCCAGAGATGCATTTTAAATAAAAGGACACATTCTACTCATGTAAAAACAAGCAGATTTAGAAGGCGACTGGGCCAGATCTGGCCCCCGGGCCTTAGTTTGCCTACCCATGCCTTTCACTATTAAGTTCCTGGTAAATTCCCTTATATCCCTCTAAAAAGAATAAACATGCCACAATCTTGTGTATAAAAGAAGTTTACTTACATCAGGCAGAGTACAGTGTGGATCCCTTAAGGCAGACTTAGCTACAAAGTATATATGTGGATCTATATCCCATGGGGGGATAATCCCAGTGTCCTCTGTTGGCTGAAAGTTTACATTCCCCTTTTACATGCACAAGAGATAGCTGGTTGCAGGCTTGTGTAAGCCTTTCACCAGGGGTCAGCAAACTTTTTCAGCAGGGGGCCAGTCCACCGTCTGGCTGAAAGCCAACAGAGCATTTCTAGCTAAAAAACTGCTCCAACGACGGAGGAAGTCAGAGAGAGAGAGTGTGTAGCATGCCTTGTCCTTTTGTTACCTGGACAGGTAAGGTCATACCTTCCTCTAGTCACATGCAAAGGAAGGATGTTCCAACCAGGAGGAAACAGGAAGTTTTTGACTGGCTGGACCAAACATTCCCCCGCATGTCCACTCTAGGAAAACAAGGAATGTTGTGCTTGACTTCTCTCAGTGGATTACATCCCACAGACACAGGCATGGATGAAACGATGTGGGAGTAGCAATTGCAAACATTAGCGAACAGCTTTGGAGGTGGTAGGATTAAGGGATGCTTTGGGTTCATCCCAAAGGCATTTTAGGAGGGGCTCAGTATTCATGGCAAGACTTTATTTCAAATTTTTCCACACCGTCCTTCAATTCAGAATTCCCAAACTACTCTTCTCCAAACCCCCTCACCCACCCATTTGGCCACCGAAAACACAGAATTTGGCCACTTGTGGAAGATGTCTGTGGGAAATGTAACGGTAAAGGTACCCCTGACCATTAGGTCCAGTCATGGACAACTCTGGGGTTGCGGCGCTCATCTCGCTCTGTAGGCCGAGGGAGCTGGCGTTTGTCCGCAGACAGCTTCTGGGTCATGTGGCCAGCATGACTAAGCCGCTTCTGGCAAACCAGAGCAGTGCATGGAAACACCGTTTACCTTCCCGACAGAGTGGTACCTATTTATCTACTTGCACCTTGACATGCTTTTGAACTGCTAGGTTGGCAGGAGCAGGGACCGAGCAACAGGAGTTCACCCTGTCATGAGGATTCGAACCGCCGACCTTCTGGTCAGCAAGTCCTAGGCTCTGTGGTTTAACCCACAGCACCACCTGCGTCCCTATCAGTTGGAAATGTAGCCACTTCTGACTTCCTGATTTTAGAGTCCAGCCCCTGCTAAATTCTTTTTTTTTGCAGTTCAAACCTCCTTCCAGGGACGCTCCTCTTCCTGAAGCTGCCCACTCCGCTTGGCATTTTCCAACCTGGCTTGGTTGTGGCACAAAATCATAATCATAAAGGGCAAACGTACGGTCTGTTGTTTGAATAACATTCCACGCTTTATTGACAGCTGGCGCCCAACAAGGATGACATTTCTCTCAGGATCAACACAAGCTGGGATCTCTTTCTCTTCCTGGCATGATCTTTCTCCCTCACTCCTTCTCTCCCTCCCTCTCTCTCACACACACACCAGATGATGCCTCAGCCAACTCAGCCAACACTCAGTCAGTCCTATTTGGTTAGGTTCTCCAGGAATGGCTATGAAGTGCCCTCGATAAATTATCAGGCTAAGCAACAAAAAACAGAGCAACCATGAATGGGGATGGGTGCATCGATCTATTTATCACCTGTGTGTTCTTCCATAAGTCCATTCTCATTTGTTTCTGCCTTAAACTGAGATTAAAAACAAATCACGCATCTCAGTGTCTATTTTTAAGTGTATTTTCTCTCAAAATTCACATTGGTTGGTTTGTTGCAATTATATCCCAGCTTTTCTTCCAAGGAGCTGGAGGTGATGCGCATGGTTCTTCTCCGTCCTCATTTAATCCTCACAACAACCTTGTGAGGTAGGTTAGGTTGAGAGGGAGTGACTGGCCCAAGGCCACCCAGGGAGATTCATGGACGAGTGCGGATCCGAACCCTGATCTCCCATGTCCGGTTCCAACCCTCTAGTCACTACACCACCCTGGCTATTTAGAAAAAAATATTTAGAAATATTTCAAAATACTTTCCTATTCTCTGAATATGGGTTTGTGTGCAGTTACTTTCTTGCAATATAATAATAATAATAATAATAATAATAATAATAATAATAATAATAATAATTTATTTGTACCCCGCCTATCTGGCTGGGTTTCCCCAGCCAATCTGGACGGCTTCCAACAAAGATTAAAAATACATTAAAATATCACACATTAAAAACTTCCCTGAACAGGGCTGCCTTCAGATGTCTTCTAAATGTCAGGTAAATGTTTATCTCTTTGACATCTGATGGGAGGGTGTTCCACAGGGTGGGTGCCACCAGCGAGAAGGCCCTCTGCCTGATTCCCTGTAACCTCACTTCTTGCAGTGAGGGAACCACCAGAAGGCCCTTGGAGCTGGACCTCAATGTCCAGGCAGAATGATGGGGGTGGAGACGCTCTTTCAGGTATACTGGGCCGAGGCCGTTTAGGTTTTCTGAGAACTCTGTTGAAGGATTTGGAATTTGGGAAGTGTGAAAGGTGGTGGAGATCTAAACCCCAATCTACACGTCAGCCGAATAAAGTGCCAAGAGCAGATCCCTCAATTCTGGCAAGAGCAAGGAAAGATATAAAAAGGCAGAGGAGCATTCCCTACAGTCCGTTATTATTGAATCAATTTATAGACAGCCTAACATAAAGATAGCTCTAATCGGCTTACAAAATAAATTTTAAAAAACATCAAAAACACAAAGCTGAAGGACAAATAAAATTAAATGAATACTCTCTACACAGTGCGTGGTTACACTGTGGGACTCGCTTCCGCAGTAGGCAAAAATGGCTCCCAAGCTAGATGTTTTTAGAAGAGGGCTAGGCAAATTCATGGAGGATAAAAATAAAAATAAACAGAGGATGAAGGAATCATGGGCTACTAGTGATGATGGCTAGGCTCTGCCTGCACTGCCACCCCAAACACACACCATTGCTGATGAATACACTAGAGGCCTTATTCTTAACATGGTTTCTTCATGTCCCTGCAAAAGATTGGAAAATCTTTGAATCTCCCTACTTATTTGAGATGTGCGGCATTATGTCTGAGAGCACAACGCCCGAGCCGTTTACCAAGCACAAATTGCTTTGCTATCCCCACGGAGTTTGCTTCGTGGAGAGTAAGGACATAGTAATTGTTAATGAATAGCGTGGCATTAAGATAGCTCTCTGGGTCCATTTTATTTACTATAATTATGCGGAATGGCCTGTTAAGACCGACAAAAATGTGCAGGAAAGGGACTTTTAAACTTCTGCAAGCAGGCTTCCAATGAGCGGGTGCTCTTACACATTCTGCGATCTGGAGTTATCAGATTGAGCAAAGGATGTGGGGGGAGATGAAACAAGATTTTGGTTAGAGTGAAAGACTGTAAGAGCTTTCCAAGTCTATTTTTTAAAAAAAGAAAGAAGAAAACCAGCCTATTATTGCTTTATTGATATTTATAGATCTGGTGGTATCAGTGTACAGAGGAGCTTAGAATCAAATTTTCAGCATGGAGGGGAATGGCAAAGGGTTGTTCTTCACACAGACTGGTGGCATTGGAAGGGACGCCGAGGGTCATCTAGTCCAACCCCCTGCAGTGCAGGAATCTCAGCTAAACACAGGAATGGTGTATCTCTCTATAAGCGCAAGGGATGTTTGCTGTTCTTGTTGTTTAGTCGTTTAGTCATGTCCGACTTCGTGGCCCCATGGACCAGAGCACGCCAGGCACTCCTGTCTTCCACTGCCTCCCGCAGTTTGGTCAAACTCATGCTGGTAGCTTCGAGAACACTATCCATCCATCTCGTCCTCTGTCATCCCCTTCTCCTTGTGCCCTCCATCTTTCCCAACATCAGGGTCTTTTCCAGGGAGTCTTCTCTGCTCATGAGGTGGCCAAAGTATTGGAGCCTCAGCTTCAGGATCTGTCCTTCCAGGGAGCACTCAGGGCTGATTTCCTTCAGAATGGAGAGGTTTGATCTTCTTGCAGTCCATGGGACTCTCAAGAGTCTCCTCCATCACCAGAATTCAAAAGCATCAATTCTTCGGTGATCAGCCTTCTTTATGGTTCAGCTCTCACTTCCATACATCACTACTGGGAAAACCATAGCTTTAACAATACAGACCTTTGTTGGCAAGGTGATGTCTCTGCTTTTTAAGATGCTGTCTAGGTTTGCCATCGCCTTTCTGCCAAGAAGCAGGCGTCTTTTAATTTCATGACTACTATCACCATCTGCAGTGAACATGGAACCCAAGAAAGTAAAATCTCTTACTGTCTCCATTTCTTCCCCTTCTATTTGCCAGGAGGCGATGGGACCAATGGCCATGATCTTAGTTTTTTTGATGTTGAGCTTCAGACCATATTTTGCACTCTCCTCTTTCACCCTCATTAAAAGGTTCTTTAATTCCTCCTCACTTTCTGCCATCAAGGTTGTGTCATCTGCACATCTGAGGTTGTTGATATTTCTTCTGGCAATCTTAATTCCGGTTTGGGATTCATCCATTCCAGCCTTTCGCATGATGAATTCTGCATTTATGTTAAATAAGCAGGGAGAGAATATACAGCCTTGCCGTACTCCTTTCCCAATTTTGAACCAATCAGTTGTTCCATATCCAGTTCTAACTGTAGCTTCTTGTCCCACATAGAGATTTCTCAGGAGACAGATGAGGTGATCAGGCACTCCCATTTCTTTAAGAACTTGCCATAGTTTGCTGTGGTCGACACAGTCAAATGCTTTTGCGTAGTCAATGAAACATGTTGCATTAAACAAATGTATTTTCAGGAGGATGTCTAAGGAAAATCCGAAGATGTGGGATTGTGGAGAATGCAATGGGAAGATCAGAGATGGGGGAAAACCAAAACTGTCATGATTCCGCGGTCCTAACTTAGAAGTGGTGTTTGGCTTTTGCTGAAAGACAGAGAGATCCTCTGAAAATCCATCACAGCCTCTGTCTAAGCCAGTGGGCACTGAAGTTACAGCAGCATGGAGCCTGCAAGCTTCTCTATTCTCCCATTATAGCTCAGCATGTGTCCTAAGGGCCAGCCCTTGATGTTTCGCTCACATCCCCAAAACAAGAGCCTCGCCAACTTCTGCTTGCTCAGGAGAGGGGAGCAAGCTGAGCCCTTTTGCAGCAGAAAGCACCATCTGCATCCAGGTCCCGGTATGCCGCTGGCTCGGGTGCCTGGCTCAGAGAAACATGACAGTGAGAGCCAAGTGTCAGTTCTCGTTACATTAAACACTGAGTGATGATAGGGGAATTGTTGAGCAAAGAATGACACCTGTCTGGTGTTCCTTTTCCCAGAGATGCTCCCCTGTCAGAGCCAGAATCACAGATGCTTCCCCTCAACTCTGCTGCCAAAGAACCCCCAAACCATTTAGGATTCCCAGCGATGATGCAGGAGACCCAGCTGATGTCCTGCCTGGGAATAGATGCACCGAGACATAGAAATCATGTTTTGGTGGGAGATCTTAGGAGTGTGGGTCCTTCCGACAGAAGGGCAGGGATTGGTGAGCTAAAGCTTCCAAAAATATTGCCCCTTGCAAATAGAGACAGTTTATGCTGTTTATGCTGTTGTTTCAATGTGGTTGGACAGTGTTCTCGAAGCTACCAGCATGAGTTTGACCAAACTGCGGGAGGCAGTGGAAGACAGGAGTGCCTGACGTGCTCTGGTCCATGGGGTCACGAAGAGTCGGACACGACTAAATGACTAAACAACAACAAAATGACTCGCAGCATCCTTAACAAACAGCACTTCCCAAGATCCTTTGGGGGAAGCCTAAAGTTTCCAAGTAAAACAGTCTGGGTAACAGCATACCCTCCAACATTTCTCTGATGAAAATCAGGATGTCCATTATTATTATTATTATTATTATTATTATACCCCATCCATCTCACTGGGTTGCCCTTGCCACTCTAGGTGGTTTCCAACATACAGTGGTACCTCTGGTTAAGAACTTAATTCATTCTGGAGGTCCGTTCTTAACCTGAAACTGTTCTTAACCTGAAGCACCACTTTAGCTAATGGGGCCTCCCTCTGCCGCACGATTTCTGTTCTCATCCTGAAGCAAAGTTCTTAACCCGAGATACTATTTCTGGGTTAGCAGAGTCTGTAACCTAAAGTGTCTGTAACCTGAAGCATCTGTAACCTGAGGTACCACTGTATATAAAAACATAATGAAACATTAAAGGTTTACAAAACTTCCCTATACAGTGGTACCTCTGGATATGAACAGGATTCGTTCCAGAGCCCTATTTGCATCCAGAAGCGAACGCAACCCGCATCTGCACGTGTGCGGGTCGCGATTCACCGCTTCCGCGCATGCGCGTGACGTCATTTTGACCGTCTGTGCATGCGCAAACGGTGAAACCCGAAAGTAACACGTCCTGTTACTTCCGGGTTGCTGCAGAGCGCAACCCGAAAGCGCTGAACCTGAAGCAACTTCAACCCGAGGTTGGCTCAAGGGTTGCATAACTCCTTGGCCTCCAATATTTCTCCAGTGAAAATAGGGGTGTCCTGAGGAAAAGCGGGACATTCTGGGATCAAATCAGAAACTGTTAATTTGGGACTGTCCCTGGAAAATAGGGACATCTGGAGGGTCTGTAGCAGCTATGAGACCTTTATCAGCTACTTTTGCTCTTGTGGCTGCAGTCTGCATCTTTTAAAAGTCACAACTTCCCCCAAAGAAACATGGGAACTGTGATTCATTAAGGGTGTTGAGTATTTTTAGGAGACCCTGAGCAATCTACAGCTTCCATGATATTTCTTGAGGGGAGATGCAACTATTAAAATTATACAAATGTGTTTCAGATGGAGGGCATAGATGCAGCCTATATTAAGTTGTAACTTTTGCTGTCACCAGTGAGGAAACATGAGTCTTTTCCTTTCTCAAGGCCAAGAGATAGAAGAAGTAAGATTAAAACTTAGACCTATATTTCAGCACCCCACTTTCGCTTGTTTACCATCTCCAGATGGAGTCACTAATTGGGACAGGCAAATTAGTCTATTTCTGGTCCGTGCCTCTTTCACTTGTTTTCACCCATAAGTCAGTTCTGTCTCTTCACTGGATTAATTAAATCTGTGATTTATTTATTTTAATGCAGAGCAAACATTTGCATTGTGATGTCAATTTAAACACCTATTCTTTTCTATTAAAAAAGCATTTCCTCTCAACACACATTTCTAATTAGAGGAATGGACTAATCGGTTCATGTCAGTCCCTCTCTCCGTCTTCCCTAATTTTAAATCTTAAATTTATCTCACGATATTTCTGCATATGCTTGCTTGAGGGAGGGAGGGGAGAAACAGCACTGTAGTGTGAATTTCTCCTTATATGCTTTCATATGCAATTCTGCCCAACACACACATTTTAAAAAGCATTTCCCCCTAAAATGATGCACTTTTTTTGGGTAATGTATTTTTCACTAATAATAATACAGCCAGTGTAACATAGTGATTAGTGTGTCGGATTAGGACCTGGGAAGCCAGAGTTTTCATTCATTTATTCATTCATTCAATTTCTATATTGCCCTTCATCTAAAGAACACAGGGCGGTTTACAACAGAAAAACACAAAAGTACATACCATAATAACAAACAAAAACAACAACTCCATTCAGACCTGGACCAATGGTACCAAATAGTATGGGAAACAGCCTTACTAGAAAAATTAACCAATAAACTGAAACTGACACAGGGACAAATAGAAGAAGACGCCTTTACCCCGGGATGGCTCCCCTTTATCACATGCACAGCCCAACAAGACAATGACAAAAATCCACCAATGGCATACAAATCAATATGCCTAACCTGACCCAAAACACCCACCCGCCCCACTCACGCACGAAAACAAAGATCACCACAGCCAACCACAAATGAATAACCACACCCCAGGCCAGCCCCAACCTCTCTCAACACCAAAGGAACACAAGCGAACAGCAAATACCTGCACAAGCAACACTGACACCAAACCCCACATATATTAAGTAAAATAGAAACATTGCCACCCGACCCCACCCCCACCCATATTCCCCCCACACCTCTTTCCCCCTTTTCTTCCCAATGTCTCAACAAATGAAACTGATTTGTAAAAATGTTACATGGGAAAAAATATATACGAGAGAGAGAGAGAGAGAGACATTGCACACACTTTTGTAAATCGAGAAAATCTTTAATAAATAAATAAATAGTAAAAACAACCCCATTCAGCCTTGAAGCTGCATATGAAAGTTTTTATTATTTGATGTTTTATTGTGTTTGTGTGTTGTTGTTTTTTACATTTTTCTGGAAGCCACCCAGAGTGGCTGGGGCAACCCAGTTAGATGTGTGGCATATAAATAATAAAATTATGCCCTACCTGCTTGCCAGCCTAGCCTACCTCGGAGGGGTATTGTGGGAAATAAATGGGGAGGGGTGTGAACCGTGAAGCCCTGGATAAAAAGGTGGGAGATAAAAAGGTAAGGGTAAAGGGACCCCTGACCATTAGGTCCAGTCGTGGCCGACTCTGGGGTTGCAGCGCTCATCTCGCTTTACTGGCCGAGGGAGCGGCGTACAGCTTCTGGGTCACGTGGCTAGCATGACTAAGCCGCTTCTGGCGAACCAGAGCAGCGCACGAAAACGCCGTTTACCTTCCCGCCGGAGCGGTACCTATTTATCTACTTGCACTTTGACGTGCTTTCGAACTGCTAGGTTGGCAGGAGCAGGGACCAAGCAACGGGAGCTCACCCTGTCACGGGGATTCGAACTGCCGACCTTCTGATCAGCAAGCCCTAGGCTCTGTAGTTTAACCCACAGCACCACCCTCGTCCCTAAGGTGGGGGATAAATGCAAATAAATAAAAACATACATCTTTACGCAACTCCCTTCCTTTTTTTGCAAGATGTATTACAACATTTGGAGAGCGAGAACTTCGAAGGGTAGCCGTGATTCAGTCCACATTTTGTTTCAGGAAGTGCCAATTAATTCCGAAAGGGTAGCACTGGCATGGCTGGCAAACATGGCTGGAGTCACTAAATGCCTAAAGGTACTTCAGATAAGCCCCTCTGCTTGCTGCAAAAGGGAAGAGACTTTTGCTTATCATTCTAGTGGAGCAAACTAAGAGCTTTGCTTAATGAGATGGGCTCTGAAATACGTCGCCTGGGGAGCCCAGGAGGATTTTTATCTTTCTGCGTGTTGTCAAGGATGATGGTGACTATTTTAATTAATCAGTACAATCCCATTAATGTACCGAAAGCTTTACAGGGAACAAAGGAAGGTCTGGTTGCTTTTAAAGGTATTTCCAGATGAGTATTTAAGTTTCTGTTTATTGCTGTTTTCGTATCTGATTTTGATGACTTCCTTCTTTCTGCGTTTGTTGCTGCAGAGCAGTTTGAGACACCTTAGTTGTGACTAATCATTTTTATGCTTATTTAATCAGCGTCATTTAAAGACAAGGAGAGAGAGTGGGAATATTTGTTCAGTTCTGCTATACATACATTTTAGTTACGGTTGTCACCTGTCCCTAGAAAAACAGGATCGCCCCGTTTTTCAACAGACGTTTCCCCTGTCCCATTTCGATTTCAAACAGGATGTATTTTTCCCGTAATTCAGTATGATACGATACAATATCTTTATTGTCATTGTTCCATACAGAACAATGAAATTGAAAATCTACATAAGACATTCAAAAACCCCTAAAAACTCTGAAACCCCATTTTAAAATACAATATACTATAGAGTCTCCTTATGTTGCATTTAGAACCAGAATTGCATTTGCATAGAAACTGTTTCTCAGGCAGCTAGTCCTAGTCTTTATAACCCTATACCTTCTTCCAGAAGGCAGAAGCTGAAAGAGATCATTTCCGGGGTGCGTACTATCCTGCACTATCTCTGCAGGTTTCTTATGGCACCTGGAAGCGTAGATTTGATCCAAGGTGGGAAGAGTGCACCCAATTATTCTCTCCGCAGTCTTTACAACCCTGGACAGCATTGTTTTTCCCCTGGCCGTGCAGCTCCCAAACTATACACACAGACCATAAGTTAATAAACTCTCCACAGTACAATGGTAAAATGCCATCTACAGGTCCTTTGAGAGATTGTTTTCCCAAAGGATTCTCAGAAAGTATAACGTGGTCATCCCAAAATGGTGGTTGAGTTGCTGTTGGTGCACCTAATGAGGAGCCCAGCCCACTGCTCCTTCCTTCCCTCTTGCTGCTGTTGCCGATCTAGTATGGTATAGATCCGCCATCACATGGCCCCCTCTGCCCCCTGACCTGAACTCTCATCCTCCATGCTCAAGTCTCTTCCAACACCAGATGGGGGTGAGGGTGGAGCTATGACTCAAGTCGGCCATGGGAACCAGCCGTCTACCCCCAGTTCCTGCCCATCTATGGGTTGGGCTGAGCTTGGTGAATCTTAAACCAGTGCAAGCCCTAGAAAGGAGACGTTCTGGGGACAAGGTGGAGATGGAGAAAAGGGTGGTGTAATTCCAATGCCCTTTTAAAGGCTTGTTTATCCTCTGCCGGGCTTAGACCTGCTCAGCTTCCAGTAGCCCCACAGCTGATTGGAGTTTGGATCTGGTGTTAAGTTTGCGCTGACTTCAGTTACACTGGCTTGCTTTACTCCAGCTGATTGCTCCCTAGTAGTGCCTTTTACGAGCTTTGGCTGATAAGCCGCCCAAAGTGGCTGGGGAAACCCAGCCAGATGGGTGGGGTACAAATAATAAATTATTATTATTATTATTATTATTATTATTATTATTATGCATATAATAATAGAATCATTGGATTGTAGAGTTGGAAGGGACCCCTGGAGTCATGTAGTCCAGCCCCCCTGTGATGCAGGAATCACGGCTGGACAGGAAGTTCTTGACCGCAGGGTCACTGTTATGATACTACTGTCCACTGATGACCACAAGATTCCATTACTGCTACATGCTGCTATGATCAAGGCACTTTCAAGCAAGTACCAATTCTCTAGACATTTTTGCATCTGTCTTCACTCATAGAGCCACTCAGGAAAGTGACAAGACCTGACACTTAGGCTAAAGCTGTGCACAAATGATCTCTCAAAATCTTCCGCTCTACTTGTGGACCAAGGAAAACCACAAATGTTTCCCCCAATTTCTCTGTCAAGGGGAGGCTTCTTGGCATAGCTGTCAACTTTTCCCTTTTTAAAAGAGAAATCCCCTTATTCCGAATAGGATTCCTCACAAGAAAAGGGAAAAGTTGACAGCTATGTTTCTTGGGGAATGAGATTCACCGTCATCAAAACTGGCAGTAGCATGAGCTCGCTTCTTTCTTTCTTTCTTTCTTTCTTTCTTTCTTTCTCCCCTACCTTTTTCTTTTCTTTTCTTTTTTTATTTGCAAATTTTACACACACAAAATGGAGAAAATAATGTATAAATAATACTAATAGTAACAAAGGGAGAGAAACCAGCATCTCACTATCTAAATACAGTAGATGCATTGATGGAGCGGAAGGATATCATAGAATCACAGAACTGTTGAGTTGGAAGGGACCCCAAGTCATCTAGTCCAACCCTCTGCAATGCAGGAATCTCAGCTAAAGCATCCATGACAGATGGCCATCCAACCTCTGCTTACAAACCCCCAAGGAAGGAGAGTCCACAGCCTCCCACAGGAGACCATTACACTGTGAAACAGCTCTTACTATCAGAAATTTCTTCCTGGTGTTTAGTTAGAGCATCCTTTCGTGTAACTTGAAACCATTGGTTGGGTCCTACCCTCCAGAGCGGGAGAAAACTGTGGGATGTGAAACACAAGAGCAGTCAAGTACAACATTCCTAGAGTGAACATGTTTACACATGGGGAGGAATGTTTGTCCAGCCAGCAGGTAAACTTCCTGTTTCCTTCTGGGCTGGGGCAGACTTCCTTTGCATGTAACTAGAGGTGGGCGTGGCCTCACCTGTGCAGGTAACAACAAAAGCACAGGGCAGGGCAGCCATCTCTCTCTCTTTGACTACATGCATCGAAGAAGCAACATCTGCTTAGCCAAAGATGCTCTCTTGGTCTCCAGCCAAAAGAGGACAAAGGGACTGTCTCCTTAGGAGACAGTTTCCAGGTGTATGTTACTTTTCTAAGCTAAGTCTGCCTTCTGGGATCCGACTGTGAACAGAATGTGAGTAAACTCATTTTATACTTTTATAGAAGACTGTGTCGTGTCTTATCTTTTATGAGGGAATAAGGGGAAAATACCAGAACAGTTATTATAGAGGTTTTAGCGAGCCTGAGCAAACGCATCCACTGTGAGTTTAGAAAAGAGGGATGTTACTCTGCTAAATTGTGAACTTGTTTACACAAGTTGGAAAAGGATATAATCAAACAATATATCCTCTCCTGCATCCCTGAACATTCCCACAAAAACAAGCTTGCTCCATTTTCCATGTGAGTTCCCATCTTCCATGCACTGGTGGAGGGAGGAGGATGGGGAGAGGGTTGTGAAGGGAGAAAAGAACTGAGATCCGGGAGGAAATAAATAAAAAATGGCTTAGAAAAGAGGACGAGGAAAGCAAGCAGGGCAATGCAGAAGAAAAGGAAGGCGAGGGGAAAGATGGGGAGGGAAAAGCCGAACATCTTTCTCTGCTCCCAGGCAGGTTATTTAAGAGCAGAGACAGCTCTCAGCCCCCAGGCAGGAGCAGCAGCAGCAGCCATTACTTCCACCCTAGTTGGAAGCATTGATTGAAAGCCCCCACACTTCTCTCCCCATTCTTACAGCATCATATGAACTGGGGGAGGGAGACACAAAGAGGTGTCCCCTGCTCTCTTACTACCCTCCCTGCTAATGCACTCTGAAGTAACCTGGCAGTGCCAATGCACGGCGGTAAGGGAATGAGGTGGCGCATGAGCCCAGGATCTCATGTGCCAAGGAAGATGAGCCTCTCCGTTGTAAACAGAGGTCATGTTTTGTTGTTGCTGCTGCTGCTCCTCCTGAGTTTCGGAAAGGTCAAACAGTAGAATCTCCAAACCGATGTATTTATTGATTTTAAGTAGAAAGTGTACGGACCGCTTGATCTATTGGCTGTTGCTGGCTAACAGCCGTGGTGGCAAAGCTCTGCCACCATGCTCAGAGGCAGTAATGTTTCTGAATACCAGTTGCTGGATATGCACCCCATGATTATAATTGACTGATACTGTTTATGAAACTACACGCTTGTTAAACTGCAATAAATAAGCAGAAGTTTATGTTCCAATTTAACCCTGACTGGACTCAGTATTGTACCAGGTAGGGCCTGGGTGGTGGCAGCAAGAAATAAAGTGGTGGCACAGGGATCAATAGACGGTGAAACGTCCGGGGACCCTGTGTGATCGCCACACAAGGGAGGCTAGGCGCAGGGCTTGCCATGGGGCAGTACAGTGGCTGGTCCTCCTGAGCATGAGAGAGGAAGCCACACCATGCTGGGACCCATTCTCTGTCAATTTCATTTCATCCCCCCCCCACTAAAAAAATGCACACCTGTACACTCTCATCAGCCACAACCAGCATGACCAATAGTCGGTTATGATGAGCTGGAGGGTCACAGGTTAGTTAACCCAGATTATTCCAGCCCCCCCCCCTCTGATATGGTTGGAACTTTTCCCCCTTTCCAATTCCATATCAGAGTGGCAGTGCAAATTACTGGAACATGCGGAAATGGTGCAATTGACTAACAGACTAAGAGGTAATACAACACAATTATTTATTCAGGAATGGGATGTGTACAAGAGAGATCTACAGAATAATAACAGTGGTACAATGTCAACAGCAGTGTCTGAATGACCCTTGTCTAAACGAACTGTTAAGAAACAAGTAAAAAGGTACGAATTGTTGTAAGAAGGTATTAGAAAGTACAGAAAGAGTAAGGTAATAATGATAAGTACATTCATCACCAGAAAGGTTATATGCATTGGGAAATGATAGGAAGTCTATTCTATGTTAGCAAAAAAGATAGGAAAAAAAGAGATTGTATAAATTTAATTTAAATCTATTTTTTGTAAACATATTAAGATTTATGATTGTTTTCATCTTGGCACATTGTGTATGTTATCTATGTATTTCAATAAAGCATTTAAACTGGGGGTGGGGGGAGGGAGAAAACCACAGATTGCTCCAGCCCCCTTCGAGTTTTGTGAAGGCCAGAGCGTTCCCTCTGTCTCACAGCTTTTCCACATGCCATGAATCTGCACCACAATCACGTCACCCCTCAGCCTCCTAAGCTTAAGTCTTAAGAGTTTAGCTCCTTAAGTCTCATATCATAAGCCTTGTTTAAGCTGGTTGTTTAAGCTGGTCAGGGAGGCACAGCTGTGAGCGAGTTTGCTTTGTTATACCCACGGAATGTATTTTTCTCTTCTTCTTCTTCTTTTTCTGGCCGTGAGAAGAGCGAAAGGTTGCACTGCTCAGTTTTCACATTGCCGGGTTGGAAATCTTCCTGGAAACCCAGTACACATTTTTTTGAATGCGTCTTCAATTTGAGGTTCTGATAAAAAGTGTGAAAAAGACTTGAACATGCCAGTCACTTCCCCTCTTCCTTCCTCTGGGTCCAATCCAGCCTCTGATGGAGAACATGAGGCAGATGTTGCTGCCTTTCCTCACTCTAGCCATGGCTTGGGTGCTTGGAGGCAGCAGGCAGATGGAGCCAAGAGGATGAGAAGCGCCGTCCCTGCAGGGAAACCAGTGCGGTCTAGTGGTTAGTGCTGGACTAGGACCTGAGGGACTAGGGTTCAAATCCCTACTTGGCCATGAAGCTCACTGGGTGACCTTGGGCCAGGTCTGCCTCTCTGCCTAACCTCTCTCACAGGGTTATTGTTGTGGGGATTAAATGAGGAGGAGCGAGAACCTCTGTTCCTCACCTCGAGCTCCTTGGAGAAAAAATGTTGGGTATAAATGCGACAAAATACTGTAAATAAATGGGCCTTGGCAGGTGCTCAGTAATGCCTAGCTTTGCTTCTGCTCCCTGTTTGACGTTTTTAAGCAAGGCTGGTTGTCCACCTTTCAGTTGACTTCCTGCATTGGCAGGTGAATTTGACTCATAGACTTTTGAGGTCCTTCCACCTCTGTGATTCCATGATTTCCACACGCATCGTTTACGCAGTTATTGCTCGGTGACTTGCAGCTGAATAGGTGAACAGACTCCACTAACGGAGTCACATCGGATGTTAAAGCTCTGTCACATCCATGATGGCTGCTGCATGCATAGAAATCATCCTGACATTGTGTAGCCCATTACAAACGTGTTGATTTTCCCCCTTAGTTGAGTTGGAGTTCTTCTGCGAACTAGAATGATGCAGTTATCTAAAAGGTCTCTCTCTGGCCACTTCAACTCTTCTCAAAAGAATGATCGGTGAATTTCTGAATAAAGAATTCTAGGAGTGTGTGGAGCCTATCATTTTATGTCTATGGGATTTCCAGCTTTCCTATTCACCCATATGTTTGTAGAATCTGCATGGAGTATGTAGAATGACCTTTCTTCCAGAAAGCCTTGGTACGCAATGAACTCTCCAAAGCAGACCTACCACCGATTTCATTTGGTTGTGTGATTGTTTTTCAACCTGCTCACAACTAGGTTTGCCCGTGAGTTTCTGCATCCAGCTACTACCCCTTCTGACTAACTTTGTGCATGCTGACCACAAAATAGCTTTTCCCCCTCCCTGAAAGAAGGTAAATCAGACAGAATCAAACAGAAGGAGAGTTTGGGATTAATGTCTGCAGAATCAGAATTACAATATCCAGGTCAGAAATCGCGCGTGCTGAATTCTTATTACCACATCATCACCAGGAAATATCTTGCAGAATGTAGGTCACCTGCTCTTTCAAGTATACTCATGGTTTTTATTTCCTCTCTTTCAGAACACAGAAAAAGTGCTCGTCCCTTCGGTCACGTTAATCGTAGGCTGTGGAGTGTCTTCCTTGACTCTCTTGCTTTTGATAATCATCTACATCTCAGTCTGGAGGTAAAGGTTCTACTCTCCTCCATTCATAAATACATATTCTCATTTGCATATTTGTATCTCTGTCTGAAACCATAAATCTATAGTTACTTTTTGTCATTCCTAGCGATGTCTACAGCACACTCTAATGCTCTGCAGTAATTCATTTATGCATTCTCTTAAATACTGGGAGAGATAAGAAGGCATCTGGAAGTCATGAGGTCTACTGTGAATCGTGAGACAATTGTAGGTGTGTTTGTAACCTCCCTGAGAAATTTCCCTAGCCTTAACTAGAGTGCCAATTTATGCTTCACCAAAAAGTGGAGTAAAAAAAAAAAAAACCCATACAGATATTCATATTCTTTTATTTATTTATTCATCTCTAATGATCAGTGGATCAAGGTCCGTACAGTTAAAGCTATGGTTTTCCCAAGAGTGATGTATGGAAGTGAGAGCTGGACCATAAAGAAGGCTGATCACCGAAGAATTGATGCTTTTGAATTATGGTGCTAGAGGAGACTCTTGAGAGTCCCATGGACTGCAAGAAGATCCAACCTATCCATTCTGAAGGAAATCAGCCCTGAGTGCTCACTGGAAGCACAGATCATGAAGCTGAGGCTCCAAGACTTTGGCCACCTCATGAGAAGAGAAGACTCCCTGGAAAAGGCCCTGATGTTGGGAAAGATTGAGGGCACAAGGAGAGGGGGACGACAGAGGATGAGATGGTTGGACAGTGTTCTTGAAGCTACCAGCATGAGTTTGACCAAACTGCAGGGGGCAGTGGAAGACAGGAGTGCCTGGTGTAGTCTGGTCCATGGGGTCACGAAGAATCGGACACGACTAAATGACTAAACAACAATGATCAGCTAATTGTCTAGGTTTGAATGACTGGATTGTCCAATACTGCAAAACCAGTTGTGCAGTGTGTTGCCTAGGGCTCTGCCTCAGTTGTAGTGCAGGGGTGTGTAGCTTAGGATACCCTATGAACTCCCAGCACCGAATGGATCAGGCCCATGGTTGGCAATAAAGCTTTAATACTGGTCGTGTTCTGAATAAAGCTAAAGTAGGAGTGAGGGAAGAGGAACACGGGTTGCGCTGTGGGTTAAACCACAAAGCCTAGGACTTGCTGATCAGAAGGTTGGCAGTTCGAATCCCCTCAACAGGGTGAGCTCCCATTGCTCGGTCCCTGCTTCTGCCAACCTAGCAGTTCGAAAGCACGTCAAAGTGCAAGTAGATGAATAGGTACCACTCCGGTGGGAAGGTAAACGGCGTTTCCGTGCGCTGCTCTGGTTTGCCAGAAGCGGCTTAGTCATGCTGGCCACATGACCCAGAAGCTGTACGCCGGCTCCCTCGGCCAATAAAACGAGATGAGCGCCACAACCCCAGAGTCGTCCACAACTGGACCTGATGGTCAGGGGTCCCTTTACCTTTACCTTTAGGAGTGAGGGAACCTGTGGCCCTCCAGATGTTACTGAACTCCAACTCTCATCACTTCTGATAACAACTTTCCTAAGAGTTCCCAAACCACACTCCATCTGTTTACCAAGAAGCAGTACTGGGTGGAGGAATGTCAAAAAGAGTTGCTTAATCATTTTTCTCTTGCCCACCTGCCCATGACTTTATTTTTATCTATTTAGTGAACACGGCCAACTTGGGATGGCTTTAAAAGAGGATTGGACAAATTCATGGAGGACAAGACCATGATGCTATGCACCACCATCCCCATCCACTGTTGGAGGCCGTAGGGTTGGAACCACACATAGGAAGAGTGCTGTTGTACTCAGACTCTGTGTGTGGCCTTCCATTGGTTGACCACCATGATAACAGTTTGCTGGATTAGATGGGCCATTGTCCTGATCTAGTAGTGCTCTTACATTCAGATAGAAATCATCTAAAGCTAAGGCTATCCATGGGGAAGGACATTGTGGATCTGGGACCATCCATCTGATGGTGTGATGGCCTGGGACTCAGACTCAGACTCAGAGCCAGAGGAGTCTCAGTCCACACTGGATCCTTTGCCTCAGGCGGCATCTGAACCTAGTCTGGAGCCTGATCCTGAAGAGTCCCAGTCTGCACAGGTTCCCCTGCAACAAACACTAGCTGGGCCGAGTCAGGAGCCTGAGCCTGCGCTGGCTCCAGATGCAGGGATTACCTCGTTGCCTCCAGCTGGGCCATCACTTACAGCTGCTCCACGACCAGTTGGGTCAGGAGAGGCTGAGGCAGCCTCTGGGTCTAGTAACCCACTGACGTCTCCTGAGCTGCAGAGACTGAGGTCTGAGAGAAGGAGAGACCTGAGTACTCGCAGGAAGAGTGCTTGCCTTCAGGCGAAACAGGGAGGTGAGTCGCTGGGGGATCAGGACCGGCCGTTACCCTGACAGAGATAAAAGGCTGTCGGACCCCACCCCAGGTTGCGGGAGCAACATTGCTGTTTGCCAGAACCTGTCTGAGATCATGTGCCTGATCTCGCCTGGTTTCCTGCCTCGTGTCCTGCCTTGGCCCTGTTGGACTGACACCTCATGGAACCCTTGGATTCGGGATCAGACCTGGACCTCATTACTCAGGTTACCCCCGGGCCCAGCACAGGTGGAGAATAAAGCTATCATTGGTTTCTAGGCATGGTAATTGTGTTCTACCTCCACCATCAAGCACCGTATTCCTCTTTATAGCAGCTTCTGGGAATCACAACTAGGAGAGAGCTGTTGCGGTCTCGTCCTGCTTGTGGACTTCCCAGTCTGGTTGGCCACTGTGAGAACAGAATGTTGGACTAGATGGGTCTTTGGCCTGACCCAGCAGGGCTCTTCTGATATTCCCATGCTCATTTTACACTGTCAAACGTGGGTTTGCCACCACACATACACACAATAAGACAATACAATAGAGTTGGGGAGCTAGAATGGGGAATAGAAAAGGTTTTTATGGTTGAGAGTTGGAGTGGTCTCCCACATCTGCTTCCATCTTTCCAAAATTGTGGGGGAATTTCATTAAATCTGGGAGACAAATATGCAGGTGCAAACAGGTCTCCTCTTAGTGGCTGGTGTCCTCCAAGAAAGAATTGCAGAGCCATAGATGGAACCAACAGCCATAGATGGAAGCCCCCCTGCCCTTACTCCTGGGTAAAGCATCATTGCCATTGGGAAGAGGCATAGCTCAGTGGTAGAGCATCTGCTTTGCGCATCAAAGGTCCAAGGTTCTATCGCTGGCATCTCCAAGGCATGTCCACTGCCAGGCAGAGTAGGCATTTCTGAGCCACGTGGACCAAGGACAGCTTATTATTCCATGAAGCAAACAGAAGAGGAACACAGTGAACCAAGAGTGGGGCTTTTTTTCACCCCTTCTTCAGTTCCGCAGCCAATATTTCCGAGGGCTTCCAGCTCGGAGCAGCACGCATCTGTCACTGCCCTGGATCCTAGTTGCAACTGGCCGCTGGCTGGCTGAGCTACAATCTCACGTTTTAATAATCCGAGGTTTTGCAGCCTTTGCCACTTTGCAGCCTCCTCTAGGCTTATAGCCAGCGGGAAGCTTAACCCGCTGACACCATTTCTTCGGATTGATCTATGTCCAGACCCAGGGGACCACGGACATGCTTCCAGCAGTGACAAATAGCAGAGAGGCAGCAGAGAGGCAAGGATCTTTGGGGGTGGGGGATGGGGAGTGGATTCCTCTGTGTGTGTGTGTGTGTGTGTGTGTGTGTGTGTGCACATTCATGTGTGTCTAGATCCATTGTACATCTAGGTAGGGTAATGGTTTCATTTGGAATGGTGAATCACATGTGACCCAGCAAGCTGAGCCGAAACCCAGTAACATAAAAAGTCCCTGCTGGATCAGGCCAATGGCCCAACTGGTCCAGCATCCTATTCTCATGGTGGCCAACCAGCAAGCAGGATTCTGCCACAAGAGGTCTCTCCCCTCACGTGGTTTCCAGGAACTGGAATTCAGAAGTGTTGCTGTCTCCAGCTATGGAGACAGGGCAGAGCCATTGTGCCCTGTAGCCATTGATAGCCCTCTCCATGAATTTGTCTAATCTTTTTAAAAAGGTTGGTGGTCACCGCTGCCTCCTGTGGGAATGAGTTCCATAGTTTAACTATGCACTGAAGGAGGAGGAGGAGGAGGAGGAGGAGGAGGAGGAGGAGGAGAAGGAGAAGGAGAAGGAGAAGGAGAAGGAGAAGGAGAAGGAGAAGAAGAAGACAACAACGACCACACCCACCAATCTGGCTGGGTTTCCCGAGCCACTCTGGGTGGCTTACTTAATCGCTGTCTAACTTACAAAGGAGGGACTTGGGTGGCGCTGTGGGTTAAACCACAGAGCCTAGGACTTGCCAATCAGAAGGTCGGCGGTTCAAATCCCCGTGACGGGGTGAGCTCCCGTTGCTCGGTCCCTGCTCCTGCCAACCTAGCAGTTTGAAAGCACATCAAAGTGCAAGTAGATAAATAGGTACCGCAACAGCGGGAAGGTAAACGGCGTTTCCGTGCGCTGCTCTGGTTCGCCAGAAGTGGCTTAGTCCTGCTGGCCACATGACCCGGAAGCTGTACGCCGGCTCCCTCGGCTCCTCCGGCCAATAAAGCTAGATGAGCAACCCCAGAGTCGGCCACGACTGGACCTAATGGTCAGGGGTCCCTTTACCTTTAACTTACAAAAGTCCTTTTTTTTCAGTACAGTCATACCTCGGGTTGAAGTTGCTTCAGGTTGAGCGCTTTGGGGTTGCACTCCGCTTCTGGGTTTCACCGCTTGCGGATGCGCAGACGGTCAAAATGATGTCAAGTGCATGTGCGGAAGCAGCAAATTGTGACCCATGCATGCGCAGACGCGCAGACATGGGTTGTGTTTACTTCAGGATGCGAACAGGGCTCTGGAACGGATCCCGTTCGTATCCAGAGGTACCACTGTATAGCAAAATATAGATAATTTGCTTCCAATTACGGGTGCCTCCAGACTGTTAGTTTATTGTTGTTTTGCAAGCAACATGTCATTGAAGCACATAATAATAAGGTCGGGCTCTATCCAGTACTGCAGCTCTGCTGGTGCAATGGGTTTCATGTGTAAATGGAGCTTCCTCTTCCTGTTATCTGGCCCCCTCCTAGCTTCCTGCGCACCCACAGAATCATTTCTGGAGGGTTAAGGAAGAGTAGGGAGAGGAGAGGAAACAGAAGTCCCGTTACACCTGCATAACTGTGCCCACAGAGCATTGAATATGATCCACAACCATAGAAGTCATTCACATGCACATTCACACTGCAGAAAGCTAATCGAAACACAAGATTTTGCATATAATGCCATTTCAGCTGGTTTGACACTATAAATCCCATGTAACATTATGGGGTTACATTGGGGGGAAGAGTCCGTTTGCCCCAGCCTTCCTGTGCTGTGGCAGCTCCCTCTGTCTGTTTGCCCCAAAAAAGCACGACATGGCACTACTGTGCAGTTTCCGTTCCCTCTCCTCCTTGAAGTCCTGCTGAAATTACACTGGCTGTAATTTTGTGGTGGTGGCGGCGGCAGCAGCAGCTGTCAACTCAAGCCAGTATCAGGAACAACTTCCTTGAATTGGTAGACCAGCTGGCTGCTTTCCTGCAGCCGGATTTGGCCCGAGGTCCACCAGCTGCCAACCCTTAGTAGGACAGAACAAACAGAAATGTGGGGCTTGAAAGGAACTGAAAATCATCCAGCATTGTGCCTTGAAACCAAGATGAGGTCCTCTATATCCAGAGGTGACACCTCCCACTTCGCTGCTTGAGGCAAAACAGGAACGTGCCACCTTGCCTCCTCGCTGTTGGTGCATTCCATATTTTGGGAGCTGCCTCAGAGAGAACTCTCCCCTAAGCTGCCAGCCACAATGCTATGGAAGGCAGCAAACCTACCAAGCAGGCACCCTCTGCCTATCTTAATCTCTGGGTGTGTCTGTAAGGAAGGAGATGGTCCTTGCTTAAGTTAAAGGTAAAGGGACCCCTGACCATTAGGTCCAGTCGCGGACATCTATGGGGTTGTGGCGCTCATCTCGCTTTATTGGCCAAGGGAGCTGGCATACAGCTTCCGGGTCATGTGGCCAGAAGAACTAAGCCGCTTCTGGCGAACCAGAGCAGCGCACGGAAATGCCATTTACCTTCCCACTGGAGCGGTACCTATTTATCTACTTGCACTTTGACATGCTTTCGAACTGCTAGGTTAGCAGGAGCGGGGACCGAGCAACAGGAGCTCACCCTGTTGCGGGGATTCGAACCACCGACCTTCTAATCGGCAAGCCCTAGACTCTGTGGTTTAATCCACAGCGCCACCTTGAATTGGGTCTGTAAGCTAACAGGTCCCATGAGGGTCACAGCCAGAGATGGTGCAGGGGAATTCAATTCAGTTCATCATCTAAAGGTATAACAACCTCGTTTCCACTTTCCAATATGATATGCAGACTGAAACACAGGCTTCTTCCAAAATTCGCATTTCTTCAAATTCTGTAGTGCAGTGTTCCAGCCTAGTAATGTGTGCAGAAATGCATGTACTAGCTAGGGCACAGTGTGCATTAAACTGCATTGCATTAGGGAAAACGGTTTTCCAAGAAAGTGTATACCATGTAAAGGTGCGTACAAAATGTGCACAAGGAGAAGTTCTCACTAGAAGGATTTTCACGAGGTCCTTTTTCAAAAAAAATGTGGAGAATTTAGGATCAGAAAAATGGGGCATTGATTGAAATTGAACTTGGCAGATTTCCCCATTCCCATGACCAGCCTTCTGACAATTTGCAGATTATGGATCTAAGGCTCTGTCCTTCCGTTTACCTTTTTTTTCGTCTTCTGTAGGTACATCCGTTCCGAACGTTCCGTCATTCTTATCAACTTCTGCCTCTCCATCATATCTTCCAACGCTCTCATCCTGATTGGGCAAACCCAGACCCGGAATAAGGTAGGAATTTGCCCAGGTTTTTTGTTGTTGCTGTCAAATATGATAGCTGAACTCCCAGGGAGAGACATTCATTTGCTTTCCTTCAGCTCATTATTTCGTTCTCTGAACGTACCACTGAATGGTAAAATTACACATGTATCACCTTTGAGAATCCGGGGAGCATCTTTACTGTTTCTAAGAAGAATAAGGAGAAAGACTTCAGCTGTGATGCATTTTGAGTTTCTGCCTAGAGTTAGCTCTCTCTGACTCCCACCGCCCCCGTCCCCTTGGCACTTTCCTGCAAGAACAGGACCAGTTTGCGAGGTTCAGTGGTTTCTATCTCTCAAATTCAAAAAGACAGATTGACCAAAGGGAGGCAGAGGAGAATGTTCCACTTAATAAATGTTCTGCTCTTCCATAGCACCCCTTTCATACACCAAGCCTGGAGCCAGTTGCTGACCTTAATTAAGAAACCCTAACCCACACACATTGCCTAGGTAGGTAAATAGGAGGGAGCATATTCCAAATGTTGTGGAAGCTTTTGAATGGCTTTTAAGCACGTTTTGGAGAAATTTGGAGAAGGTCTATGAGCCATTAGAGCTCAGTCGAACCTCCATGTACTTCAACGGCATACCTTTGAACAATAGCTATTGTGGACACACAAACAAAAGAAGAAGAAGAGAAAAATGATCTTGCAAAGCAGTCCTTAAGTTGATGCATATTCAAGGCCTGGGGAGTGTCTGCAATAATGGAGATGGTGGTGAATATCAGGGCTGTGCTGTGCCTGGATTTCAAACTGAACTGGGCCCATTTGGGGCGATGTTGAGGTAGCCCCAATCGCCCCAAGTTGGATCGGGTCCAACCCAAATATTCTAAGGCTGTCAAAAAGCAGGGCAGTTGGGCAACTGAAGAGGAGGAGATGTATGCTGGGTGTGGCTGCACCAACCTGAACTGGACTACCAAATTTGGACTACCACTAGCCTTGACAGGACTATCAGACTTTTCTGGTCCTGGCCCTGCTCTGTAGGACGCAACATCCCCATCCTAACTGTGCATGGCCAGACTGCAACCTGGGAGCCTAGAAAGGACACTGTGTTTAAAATAATTTAGCAGTCAGTTACTGCACATGGAAGTAGCTGTTTTTGGCTACCGTGGTTAGGAGCCATCTGCCTCCACAAAATATTTTACTCCCATTTACGAGACTTTGGGCAGAATTCAACATCACGCTAAGTGGAAAGCATCATTCATTCATTTATTCATTCATTCAATCAATAAGTCTCTATACCACCCTTCATCCGATGATCACAGGGCAGTTTAGAATATAAAAAACACACAAAAAATACACACCATTGTGCCAAACAAAAACATGGCTACCTACCTGTAACCCCCCCCCCCCCCAAAAAAGATTGTTTAATTAGTCAAAAGCAGTTTCAGCTTGCCAGATGGAATGATTCCCTTTATCCTCCCCCTGAATGCTGTTCTGGGGGTTTTCCTGATCCCCCCAGAACAACTTTTTGGGAGAGAGTGAGAGACATGTGGTGGGAGGAGAAGGGGTTAAGTCCCATCGTGTGAGCAGAATTCCTTGTTTAGAGCTTCTGCTGCTAGGACACATTCAGTGAATCCTGCCCATCAATGCTCACTGCTTCAGCATTTTTGTGGCTATACGTTCCAGAGGTCAGTTATGGACAGAAAGACTAACCCTTTGACTTTTCTTAAGCTTGCTGCATTTCCAGTGTCATCAACAACCACTAGGAGCAAATAACCAACAGAATAACAGCAGCAGTAACAATGACCAGGTTTGCAGGTCACATCGAAGTTTTAAACAACGGTTTGATGTGATGTGCAAATTGGGTCAATTTAAATTCTCAGCTGCAAGGGAAGAAAAGCTAGGCACAAGCTGAGCAAAGAGGCAATGTTGGGTAGTGGTTAGAGTGTTGGTCTAGGAACTGGGAGACTAGGGTTCAAATCCTTGCTCGACCATGAAGCTCACTGGGTGACCTTGAGCTTGTCACTCCCTCTCAGCCTAACCCACCTCACAGGGTTGTTGCGAGGATTAAATAAGGAGCGGGAGAACCATGTGACCACCTCAAGCTCCTTGGAAGAAGAGGTGAGATATGAATGGAATAAATAAAATATTCTGAACTCCATATCAGACATTTATGCCAACGTCTTTTGAAGGCATTCAAATTATGGACAGCTCTCGATGAAATCTGTCGATCACCATCGATCTGAAAGTGAGAAATAGCTGGTAGGGCAGATCTGGCACCAGATTCTCCCATGCGAACAGATCTTCATCAAAGCAATCAGATTAATGACTCATCTTGATTTGGGGAAAGTGGCACTAAAGTAGAGACAGAAGGATAAAGACGTAATTGAAGGTGATCAAGCAAAAGGGTTGCTTCATTTTTTATTTCCGTCAATGGATTTTTGTAGGGAGATTTTTTTCCGTAAGATGAAGATACCTGGAGAGGAGAGGAATGAAAAGAGTCCTGCCCATTTCCTTCAATGCAGTTCACATTGCTCCCCTATGAATAATAATAATAATAATAATAATAATAATAATAATAATAATAATTTATTTATACCCTGCCCATCTGGCTGAGTTTCCCCAGCCACTCTAGGTGGCTCCAAACAGAATATTAAAAACACACTAAAGCATCAAACAATAAAAACTTCCCTAAACAGGGCTGCCTTCAGATGTCTTCTAAAAGTCTGGTAGATGTTTTTCTCTTTGACATCTGGTTGGAGGGCGTTCCACAGGGCGGGTGCCACCACAGAGAAGGCCCTCTGCCTGGTTCCCTGTAACCTCACTTCTCGCAATGAGGGAACCGCCAGAAGGCCCTCGGCGCTGGATCTCAGTGTCCGGGCTGGATGATGGGGTGGAGATGCTCCTTCAGGTATACAGGACCGAGGCCGTTTAGGGCTTTCAAGGTCAGCACCAAGTTGTGCTCTGAAACGTACTGGGAGCCAATGCAGATCTCTCAGGACCAGTGTTATGTGGTCCTGGCAGCCACTCCCAGTCACCAGTCTAGTTGCTACATTCTGGATTAATTCGTGTGTGGGTGTGGGTGTGGGTGTGTGAGAGAGAGAGGGAGAGAGAGAGAGAGGGAGGCATTAAAACTTCCAACTGGTTTAGAGTCGTCTTTAGCAGCTAGCAGTGCTTTTGTTGTTCCAACTTTCATTTCTCTGTGTCTTTATGGCGTCCCTACTCCCCTGACAAACACACACACACACATTTTCCACCTGTGTGCACCCCAGTGAATAGTGCCCCTCTCTGCATTTATGAGAGCCTTTGAAGATGAAAGCAGTACATTTAAAAGATGCATATTTTTGCTCCTGGTCACATTAGACAAAAGGGATGATGAAGAAGAAAGGCGCCCGCCTAGCCAATCTCTCTCTCTCTCTCTCTCTCTCTCTCTCTCTCTCTCTCTCTCTCTCTCTCTCTCCGCTGCAGCTTGGCAGCCTTTTTGATTATTAAATCACGCTTGGCCAAGCATTGCCGCCTGCTTCAAAGGACAAGAAAAGGTTTTGCTACTGAAGACAGAAGGGAAAGGGCCTCGATGGGTTAGAATCCCGGGGAAGGAGTCACGGCTGCAGCCACTGCCTAAGGCAGAATGTTTGGATTGGAGCTGGTTTAGTATTGATACCCATAGGATAGCTCAGTTGGTTAGAGCATGGTGCTGATAATGCCAAGGTTGCAGGTTTGATCCCCATATGGGAGAGCTGCATACTAGATGATCGTCAGGGTCTCTTCCAGAATCTACGTTTCTATGATTCTGTTCTATGAATCTGTTTCAAACCAAATACTCACATATTAGATGTTTTGTAGGCAGGGATCCCAGAGGCTCATACATAGACTGGGCTGCCTTTGACTTGACCCAAAGTGAGTATGCATCTCTAACAAGTTTCCTCCTCAATGCCAAAGCCTTACATCCCATTTTAGCTGATGAGGACACTGAGATCCAGTGCCGAGGGCCTTCTGGCGGTTCCCTCATTGCGAGAAGTGAGGTTACAGGGAACCAGGCAGAGGGCCTTCTCGGTAGTGGCACCCGCCCTGTGGAATGCCCTCCCTTCAGATGTGAAGGAAATGAGCAGCTGTCCTATCTTGAAAAGACATCTGAAGGCAGCCCTGTTTGGGGAAATTTTTAATATTTCATGCTGTACTGTTTTTAACACTTGATTGGGAGCCGCCCAGAGTGGCTGGGGAAACTCAGCCAGATGGGCGAGGTATAAATAATATATTATTATTATTATTATTATTATTATTATTATTATTGAACGGGGAGTGGAAGACAATTACCTGCCCTTCTTCTCCTCCTATATATGTAATAAAGTATATATCAGCATCTTCCCTTTCGCCATCACTTGTCTGGGAAGTCCGAAGTAACAGTTCCTTCCGATAGGCCTCGTCTTTATATATTCTAATGCAGGCAGAGCCAGCTGGCAGCCCTCGGGGAAACCTAGATAGTGACAGCAGCAAAGTTCAGAAAGGGAGCATTCATAATTCAGACTCCTCGGTTCAGAAATCCCTCAGCCATTTCGAGCTGTGCCAAGCCTCCTCTGAGATTTGGCTCTGCTCATAATGGCTTGGCACCGGCCCTCCGCCGACACTTGCCATTCCTGCTGCCAGTCTGTATTATTTTTAGAACTTCCACCCCACATTTCCACTCCAGGAAGGGGTTGCTCAAAACGGCTTACAAATCTAAAAGCAAGCATAAAAGCAAACCATTAAAACACTGGGAGGGGGGCCAGAAAGTGGTTGTCTGGTTTTTTTGTTATATAAAAATGGCTTGTTTGGTGTGTGTGTGTCTAAAAAAATAAATAAACAAGAGACTTGGCCTAAAAAGTTATTGTGGCATACTGTCCCTTTACCTCATGGGTAGGCAAACTAAGGCCCAGGGGCCAGATCCAGCCCAATCGCCTTCTAAATCCTGCCTGCAGAAAGTCCTGGAATCAGCATGTTTTCACATGAGTAGAATGTGTCCTTTTATTTAAAATGCATCTCTGGGTTATTTGTGGGGCCTGCCTGGTGTTTTTACATGAGTAGAATGTGTGCTTTTATTTAAAATGCATCTCTGGGTTATTTGTGGGGTATAGGAATTCGTTCATTTTTATTTTATTTTTTCAAAATATAGTCCGGCCCCTGACAAGGTCTGAGGGACAGTGGGCCGGCCCCCTGCTGAAAAAGTTTGCTGTCCCCTGCTTTACCTCTTATGGTCCAGCTGTCTGTTGCCCTTGACTTTCTCCTCTTTCTTCTTACACATGTCATTTCTCTCTCGCACTTTTCCAGGTGATATGCACCTTGGTGGCTGCCTTCCTTCACTTTTTCTTCCTCTCCTCCTTCTGCTGGGTGCTGACCGAAGCCTGGCAATCTTACATGGCTGTGACGGGCAGGCTGCGAAACCGCATCATCCGTAAACGCTTCCTGTGTCTTGGATGGGGTGAGGATCCCTTGCTCAAACCTGGAGGTGGGAAGGGGGGGGAAAGCAATCACACCTTTCAGCAAATGCACCCAGTGCTGAGCATCAGCTGAAGCTCAAATGGGTGGATTTGAATCATGCTGAAAAGGGGTTCCTCTGCTCAGAATCCCAAAATCTATATTGCAGTGTTAAGGCATGGAACCCAGAAGAAGAGACTGGTTTTGATGCATGAATCTGAAATAACACCGCACACACCCATATTCATTTAATCTCTGTTTGAATTCATTTTGAGGGGGGAAATCAGGAGAAGGGTTGCAACTCAGTGATAGATGCTGGGGACTGAACCTGGGACATTCTACATGCAAAGCAGCTGTTTTTCCACTAAGCGGTGGAAATTCCCCGTTATGGTGTGTCTCAGTATCAGGCATCTTTCTATGTGCCAGCAAAGAGAAGCATGGCTTGTTATGGTGCTGGGATGCTCACTTGGTTTGTGGTTGATCTTTTCAAACCTTGCTTGAGCATGGAATTCAGAATTCAGTACCATTAGTTTTCCTTAAGGAAATGACTGGGAATGCAGCCGGCTTCACATCTTGGTGTAGAAAGCTGCAGAAAGTACCATTCTCCTGGAGATTTAAAATTCAAATCCCCCAGTGCAAAACAGTTGCAATACATATGGATATTATTGCGGCATGAGTTGACTGTGCAATTGCTCCAGTGGGATGGATTGCTCAGATGCAGAGTCCGAACAGCTGACTTGAGAAATCTATCCTCATCTACATGGGTGGGATTGTTCTGCCACAGTGCACATTGTGTTCAGAGTGGTGCTGGTTACTGGGTCTCTCTTAAAAACACAGTAAGCATTTCAGGTTGCTCCTCCCACTTCCTGGATAGCTAGATCAGTGGTGTAATGGTTAGGGTGTTAGACTAGGCCCTCACAGACTGAGCTTCGAATCCCCACTTACCCATGAAGCTTGCTGGGTTATCCTTGTCGGAATCTCCGCTACGACCGAGATACTCCTCCGGTCGAGCCTTCGGAATCTCCTCTGATGATGGTTAACAACCTGAGCCTTTGATAAGGCTCCAGGCACATTCCCCATTCAGCAGAGTATCAAAGCAGCAGAACAGATGAGAAGTTTGAGCTGCATTTGCTAAGGTTTTGATTTCTAGACTATGCAGACAGAATAGAACTATTATTATGCCTCTCTGAGCCCTGGGAAGGCAGAGAGCAACTGGAAAATCGAAGGAATAGGAAACCAGTAACATCACATCTCAAGATGCTCCTCGTCTTCCGTGAGACTAGCCAGATCAGTCGTGCAATGGTCTAGGTATGCAAAACAGAGTCTTGTGACTCCAAGCACTGCACAGTGGCATAAACAGAAACCAACAATCCTGGGCCAGTCTAACCTGCCTTACAGGGTTGTTGTGTGGATAAAATGAGGAGGCAGAGAGAACCATGTATGCCACTTTGAGCTGTGGAATAAAAAATGTAAGCGAAGGGAGGGAAATTACAAGACAAATGAAGTTCAAGAGTGTGACTAGTTACTTTGTGGCTCATACCACAATCTGTGCAACCTGACAAAATGCCTCTGAATAGTCACATCACTGCAAGTTCAGCAGCATAACTACTTTATACAGTGGTGCCTCGCAAGACGAAGTTAATCCGTTCCACGAGAGTCTTCGTCTAGCGGTTTTTTCGTCTTGCGAAGCAAGCCCATTGACGGATTAGCGCTATTAGCGCTATTAGCGGTTTAGCGGCTATTAAAGGCTTAAAGGCTTAGGGGATTAGCTGCTAAAAGGCTATTAAAGGCTATTAAAGGCTTAGCAGATTAGATAAAGGGGGGGAAAAGCGAAAAAAAAATCTCAAGACTCGCAAGATATTTTCGTCTTGCGAAGCAAGCCCATAGGGGAATTCGTCCTGCGAAGCAACTTCAAAACGGAAAACCCTTTTGTCTAGCGGTTTTTCCGTCTTGCGAGGCATTCGTCTTGCGGGGCACCACTGTAAAAGGATTTGGGGGCTGGGTGGGTGAGCGGAGAACTGGAGATTATTCCCTGGTTCAGATTTCAATTCAAAGCAGAGAAGAATTGGGGCACCTGTTGCACACTTCTTCTTTGAGGGGAAAATTAGGCTTGTTGATACATTCCACTGAACATAGGTTCAATGCATATCCTTTTCCGGTCAAGCAAACGTAGAAGCCAAAAAAGATCTAAAAGGTAAGTGATTAAACTTCTGAGCAACTGCATGTCAAGATTCCTCCTGATATTCTCAGTTGCTGAGAATCACAAGTGGGGAGAGTGTTGTTCCACTCAGGTCCGGCTTATGGACTTACCATAGGAATCTGGCAATTTTTCACAACGTAGTGTGTTTTGTAGATTTTCAACAATGTATGATTTTTAATGCACACTTCCCCAATATGCACAGTTCTGCACACTTTTTCTTGGTTGGGAAACCGATCAACTCAATTTGCTAAACTTCCAAGGATAGCTGCAGTTCGATTTACATATTATTTTCAGAAGTGTAGCTTTGCATTAAAATGAAAACTGAACTGAATTGCCCCCCAACCCTCAATCCCTAAGGGATATTCTTTCTTTCTGCACCTCTGGCTGTGACCAAAGTTACAAAGTCAGCTTCACTGTGGCAGCCTGCTGCTTGCTTGGCCCTGAGCTAGGTAATCCTTTAACCTCTTGGATTTCCCCAGGGTGGTGTTGATTTGAGTGGAACTCCTCTGAGAATTTAAAAGGATCTGTTTCACCCTTCACACGGAAAGGTATTAGAGGATTGAATGGCGGACATTTGGGGCCATGTTCTGCTCTGGGATGCATCCTAGCCAGTAGGAAAACAGAAACGTCCCATGAGCGTCAAGCAGAATATTTTCTCTCTCAAGAGACATGTGTTGTGGGAGAAATTTCCCTTAGGGGGAAATACGGAGGTTCACAGTCAATTCCCAGTTAGCGAGACCTTGTTCAATAATGTGTTACTGGACCGAGAGCTTTCCATAAGGATACGCTCTCTATAGGCAAAATGTGTCAACTTGGCTGTTCCATCCTCTTCTCCAACCACCTTCTGCCAACTCATTGCTCTACCATCTTTCCATCCAACCACCAGGGGTGGTTTTAGGATACAGCGACTTGGCACCACACTGCAGAGCACCACATGCAATGCTGCAGAATGGATTGTGAGAGGCAGGGTGTGCCACACAGGGCACTGCTGAAATTTGAGAGCCCCAAGTCCCCCACTGCAACCACAGTTCTTGGAAACACTTAGCCCCCTTTTTAAAAAGCATTTCTGTAGCTCCCTCCTTGTACCCTTTTCATGTTATCCTTCAGTCATTAGAGAGGACGCAGGTAGCGCTGTGGTCTAAACCACTGAGCCTCTTGGTCTTGCCGATCAGAAGGTCACTGGTTCGAATCTCTGTGATGGGGTGAGCTCCCGTTGCTCTGTCCCAGCTCCTGCCAACCTAGCAGTTCAAAAGCATGCCAGTGCAAGTAGATAAATAGGTACCGCTGTGGCAGGAAGGTAAATGGCATTTCCGTGTGCTCTGGTTTCCATCATGGTGTTCCGTTGCACCAGAAGCGGTTTTGTCCTGCTGGCCACATGACCCAGAAAGCTTTCTGTGGACAAACGCCAGCTCCCTCGGCCTGAAAGCGAAATGAGCGCCGCAAGCCCATGGTCACCTTTGACTGGACTTAACCGTCCAGAGGTCCTTTACCTTTACTTTTTTTACCTTTAGTCATTTGTTTTCCCCTTAACTGCTCCTTACCACTTCTGTGATCGAGTTGCGTTCTTGCGTACGTAACACCGGCCTTACTGATAATTAGCCTAACAGAAATTCTGCATCAGCGTAAATGGCGCAGTTGACCATTTCCACCCTACTTGTAGGCAGTGAAATCAGGGTGGGAGGGATTTCTCCAGGTAAAGGAGAAACTCTTGCAGCAGTTTCTCCTGGGTGTGGGACTCCATTAGCAATAGCAAATATTCTGGAAGGTGTCCCCCCCCCTTTGTTTTGCTGCCTCCAGAAGTGACAACAGCATCTGTGTCATGTGATGGTGGTTAACTTTGTAATCTTGCCTTTCCTCCCAAAGGATGATGGGAAAGCCATGCAAATGCCTGGCCACCATTTTGCATCTTCTAAAGTACCCAGCATCGTTCCTAGGCGAATGGGTGTGGGGAAGATAGTGGCAGCTATTCCCACGCACACATACATATGGTATGGAAGATTCAGAAAGTATATTTTAAACCATGGATGGGGAATTTGAGGCACTCCAGCTAACATGCCCCAGTCAGCATAGCCAATGGTCAAATATTCTTCCATTAGCTGTTATTGAGGCAGAAACAGTGGCAAGCTTTAAAAGCCTCCTATCTAAATAAGCGTGGGACGTGGGTGGCGCTGTGGGTAAAACCTCAGCACCTAGGACTTGCCGATCGCATGGTCGGTGGTTCGAATCCCCGCGGCGGGGTGCGCTCCCATTGCTTGGTCCCAGCGCCTGCCAACCTAGCAGTTCGAAAGCACCCCCGGGTGCAAGTAGATAAATAGGGACCGCTTACCAGCGGGAAGGTAAACGGCGTTCCGTGTGCTGCGCTGGCTCGCCAGATGCAGCTTGTCACGCTGGCCACGTGACCCGGAAGTGTCTGCAGACAGCGCTGGCTCCCGGCCTCTAGAGTGAGATGAGCGCACAACCCTAGAGTCTGTCAAGAGTGGCCCATACGGGCAGGGGTACCTTTATCTAACTATGCAAGTATCACAGTGTTCTGTTTTATTATTCATTGACATCTAGCTGAATGTTTTCTTTATGGTTTCTCTGTTTTTACTGGTGTATTTCTTTGTGCTTTTGTTTTTAACTGTTGTATATACATTTTTTTATCTTTTAAATCATCTTGCAGTGTTTTATGTAAACCGCTTAGGGATTTTGCATATTAAGCAGTATATATTACTGATGATGATGATCTAGTTGGCCTTATTCAATAGCCTTGGATGAAAAAAAGAATAATCCAAAATATTAGGAGAGAAATGTTCAACTCGGCTCTCATTTTAAATCTGGGAGACACTCTTCAAGTGAAGTAGAAAGAGTTGGAAGACGGGCTGACAGAGTTCTTGATCTCCTTAAACTGCAGAAA